TGCCGCACCGAATTCAATTAACCCACATAAGTACTTCAATAAGAGGCAGTGGATGTTCCGTATTTTCTTCATTAATCTTCATTAATGGTATCGAATCAATCTTTTCAGACCTCTTGATAATAAACCATGAGAATGACTTACAACATTCTCTATTTAGCAAACTGTTTTTGTAAGCACCAGACAATTGACACTTTATCTACAAGGCTCATGTCCAAGTCTCTCAGTTATTTCAAGGCTGTAACATTTTGCTTGTTACATTTCGCGTTAAAAATATTGTTTCATTTTGCGTCAAAAAGTTGTTACATTTCGCGATAAAAAGTTGTTACATTTTGCGTCAAAAGTTGTTTCATTTCGGGTTAATGTTACATTTCGCATCAAAAGTTGTTACATTTCGCGTTAATGTTACATTTTGCGTCAATTGTTACATTTTGCGGCGTAACACTCGTCTTTAAGGCACTGGAATCCTCTTTTTTTTTTTTCGTTTTTTTTTTGTCTTTTGTGTGCACAGTTCAGAAAAGACAATCAGTTTAATGACCATCCAACAGTTCAATATTACCACGCCAGTAGTTCAATGACCACACAAGCAGTTTAATGACCACTATAATTATATGCTGAAAGTAGTGCAAAAATTTAGCGGGCACTGATACTCGCATTCCACTCTACGTACATTAAGAAAAATATGGCGCGTTATCAGTGTCAAAATTATGTTTGTCTCAATGTTTTGAATTTTATACTGGTATTAAAGTGTCTGTCGTGACATTAATGCGTTGGCATGTGGAGCTCAAACGTGGCATTACGGAATACGTCTTGACATTATGATGTTGATAGCGGAGCTCTCGCGCGCGAAGGGCGCCTGCGGAGCACCATGGGTAAGAAAATTTGGTAAACTATCCATCCGATAAAATTTGGTTATGACGTAGCGTGCGCCCGCCCACCCGTACACACACTTCATGTAAGCCGATGTCAAGTGTCACACTTGTCAGGACCGTGAAATAAATAACAACGGAGACTAATGTCGCTGGAAGAAAAACATGAAAATTATATAGCGGCGGTTAGAAAATGAAGAATGCTAGCGGCTACTAATGTGAAAAAGCAGCAGCAGTGAAAAAATAGAATGAACAGGAACACAAACATTTCCTCCATAAAACGCGTAAATAGGAAGCTAAAAGAAGTTTCACGTTAGTCGTGTAAAACAACGGTAAGGAATTGTACAAAAAAAAAACTGCTGCACGTGCAGAGTTGTTTTTTTGCTAATTAGAGAAAAAGTGTGCTGCACGTGCAAAGTTGTTTTTTTGCTAATTAGATCTATTGTTGTTGTTTTTAGCGTTTTCGTTGCTTTCAACTTGTCTTTAGTATTCATCGATTTTATATTTTCTTTGAGGAATCCATAAATATTAAAGAGAGCTTCGCTTTTAGCCCTGGCTAAATCTATATATTATGTATATTATATATGAACAAAACAATCGTCTTTTAAAAAAATTGAATGGTCATCTTAACATTATGATGCTCGTCATGACATTATGATGTTCGTCTTGACATTAACAAAGCATGCACTGCGGATTTATTTCCCGCCAAAACGAATCACGTGATTTGTTTTGATTGTGATTTGATTTGTTGTGATTTGTGGTGAGCTTCGACAGACGTTCATAACAAGAATTGCTGGTTTTCAGTGTCACGCCATTCAAAATAGATCAAACCAAAAATAAAAACCGTTCAATAGATAAAGTCCAGAATCTGGGAAATGAAAGGAGGTACATATACAATGACCCTCGCCAAGTTTCAGGTCAGAGGAATATTTCGTATACGAGATATCCGAAGAAATGTTTTCCCAAACTTATAGAGATTTGTATGGAGACGCCATGCTGGCCGGCTCGCCTGGATGAGCTCCAACATGGCGGACGGAAACCAACAGAAACATCTGTTACCGACTTTGCCACAAAAGCGAGAATTAATTCTTCGAGAAACTCATAAACATTAAAGTAATACTTTTTCTAATACATGAACTGTTTAGATAACAAAATTTCCGGAAATAAGACATTTTTTTAACCTACATGACAGCTCTCTTGACCGTCATGTAAATGCCTCGTCACGCAAAAGCTTAGAAATTCAAGCGTGCTCTATCACAAAATCAAGAACCCTTTTGAAGCGAAAATTTGTATGAAAATTAGTTTTCAGCTGCTCTAATGCATCGTGAAAGTAAAATCTCTGTAGGATCGATAGTTTTTTAGTTTGAATTTTAGTGACGTCATGTGAAAACCAACAATAGCGGGAATGATTCACGATGTGCAGCGGGAGCTTCATGCGAACAACGTGGAGCATGAAACATTAGATGAACTGTGTTTTCGTGGCGAACAGCTAGCACGACAGGTAGCCAGACTTGTAACCGCCAATGTTTTAGATTCGAGTGTTCTAAACTGCATCATGTTCGCCTACGAAAAATTCACTTTTTGTTCACAACGAGTAGAAAGTGAGGAAACGGGTTACAGAGCAGCTTTACTAAACTCTGGTGGCCGTGGAAGACCTTCTTACCAGATCAGTAGAGAATAACTGTTATATTTTCTCACAGAACGATTTTCAAGAAGAGGGTAGCAGACATGTTACGCGTTTCGCTAAGTACTGTGGCTCGTAGGATTCGTGAGTACGGTTTGGTAAACCTATTACCGTATTCCACCATTTCCGACGAAGATTTAGACGGCGTTGTTAGAGAGGTGCAAGCATTGTTTCCCAACATTGGATATCGTCGTATGTTGGCATGGGTGAGCTGACCCGTCGGGGCATAGTCATCCAGCACGCAAGAGTAAGAGCATCAATGATTCGAACCGATCCAGAAGGCACCGTACTTAGTTGGATGGATGCTATACAAAGAAGATCCTACAGTGTTTATGGGCCAAATGCTTTGTGGCATATTGATGGGCACCACAAATTAATAAGGTAGCGATTAAGAAAAGGCACATTGATGTATATTTCACTTGTGGTCATGTTAAAATAATGTTCAGTGCGCGGGGAGGGGAGCTCCCATATAAAGGTGACGGATGAGCGTCGGAAATTTTGAAAACAATCTGTTTTTACCCTAAGAGTTAATTTGCTGACAAGTAGTTCATGACACATTTTTCCCTGCTAATATTCAAAAGGTACCCAGGCCATTTGAATGCTGGTCGATGCATTTTAGAATCAAAGACTCTTGCTTTCAACTCCCTGTCATAACGACAAGGATGCTTGCAGGTGCTGCAACCAAACTGGCCATTGAACTGCTTGATGTTGAGGAAAAGATCTTTGGCAGGGAGATCAGGTACGATTGACTGAGTACGACAAACAGAAGGTATTGGTTGACCAGTATCATCTTCAAAATCAGTACCATTTGCCAGGTCAGACAGCTCATTTACAAAATGTTTAAGGAAAACTGGCACATTTGGTTTAGATTTTCCATACCAGAGCCCAGTTAGTAGAATGTTATCAAACTTGTACCTTTCTTGTGGGGTAATTCCACAAGGAAGCACGTATGTGGCCAAATGCTGAAGCTCTTTGACTTAATGAGAGGAGCCCCATCACAACTCATGACTATTGAATAAACTCTTTTTCCTCTTGCATGTGGTTCCTTCTGGGAAAACTTTTGATAAACTCTACCATCCTGTATGTCCCTCCAGATACTCATCATTTGCTTCTCTTATCATTTGGTCACTGTACTCGACAATTTATTTCCAATGTTCTACAATTTAACATGGAAATAATGATATTAGCCAATGAAGTTAACCTACACCGGCACACTATTGGTAGTGGCATGTCTGAGCAAACAACTGGAATTTTAATTTTCTTGTGTTTCATGACCACTTTGACATTAGCTGACTTAACGAGCAGACACAGACATAATGCGCTCTAAACTGTCGAGATTACTTGGGGTTGGGTACTTCCTTTATTCATTACGTTTCAGGTGCAGATTAAGTTTCTTTTGGCCAAACAAAATTCTGTTTATATCTGTATTCCAGAACCAGTTAAAATACCTTCAGCCCTGAAATCAATTACATTAAGTGTTTCCCGTCAAAAAAAGAATAAAGAGGGAGGGTACACCCAATGTATCAGGTAAATAAGGTATGCACCAGTGTTGTAATCCAGGTTTGATCCCTATACATAGAGTAATATTATGTGCGTTTAAATGCCCAGATACATAAAAAACAAATGATCTGTTTAAACTGAGGGACTTGTCAAAAATTAGCAGGGGGAAGGGGGAGGTTGGAAACAGAGGTAGGGTCACAACTTTTTGAGACTGCAGAAAAGGGAGGGGTCATGAAAAATGGGCCGTTAAAAGGGGGAGGGCCATGCAAATATGTGTCCGTGATCATGTAGAGGTTCACCCACAGAAGAAAAGAAGTTCTTTATTCTGTAAAAAAAAAACTGGGAGAAATAGGAGAGTCGAGTGATCAGCTGTCAGAATCAGAGTTGGACTCTTAATGCTGTCGTCTAAAATGTATGTATATTGCATTACTAGGAACAGATTAGAAATATATTTTGAGCTTTCATAATACTGACTCACCCTAGCGTATTGCAAGAACTAGATTTTATCGTTTATACAAGAGGGATGGGTCACCTCATTTCCGAACCCAAATTTAAAATTCTCACCCCTCCCCACCCCCCTGCTAATTTCTGAGAAGTCCCTGAACTGTACCTTAGAGAAGTGTGTGTTTCCTTTCAATTCTTACCTTTTCTCTTTTTCCTTTAATTGGATCTCATTCCTTAGTTTTGGGCTATACATTTGGGTATGACTTTTTATTTGCCTCATCCATAAATAGGGTCAGGGTTTAAGACTCTAGGCGGCACACATATATGCGAAATTTTTGGGAGCTCCCCCCTCCCCCTGGGATAATTCCTATGAGTTTTCTGAACAAAGCCAGAAAAATGGAACCCAAAAAGAAATACACTAATGGTTGGTTTCCTACCTTGAATTAATCTTTGAATTTGCGGTTTTAATGGCAGAACAAAAATCTAAGTGGGTCGATTTTCACACCTTTATCTTCACAATCGTCGTTGTTACACAATTCCTTTTCGACTTTCTCGTGGCATTTCGGGCAGAACTCAATAAGACTGTACGAGAGTAAACAGTCTCTGTGTCTCTTGTTAAACATGTAGGAAGAGGTAGCTGTATTGTTGCCATCGGGCAAAGTTAGTTCTAACAACTTCAACAAGTCTTCCTTTGCAGATTCTGAAATATGATGTTTTTTTAAAGAAGGCTAACAACAGTGCATCAAAATTGCCTTTAGTGAAAGTCGAACCTTGATAGATGGAACTTTCACGTTCATTCTTTGGGGAATCGTCTGGCTCGCTGTCATCACCGATGTCTTCTGATATCATTTCTTCAGAGATGCATTCACTGCTGCTGACGCTACCTGGTGCACTATCTGGGCTTTCATAACGGTCATCTGCGATGTCACTAAACTCCTCTTCACAAACTCTTTCAAAGCAGGGGTCGCCACTATCATTGGGGTCCATTTGAAGTCCGTCCTCAGGGAGTGTAGCCTCCCCGCAGAGAGAAATGAATGCGTGACAAACGAACCCCAAAGGACGTCTGCGGGGAGGCTACAGGGAGTGCACATGTCTGGCGATCATCGTTCGCGGGACCAGGACATTTCCTTTTTTCGGGAGTTTCGATGATGGCGTATTCTTGACTGTTTTCTGAGTCATCACTTGAACATGAGTCGTTTGAGAAATGTGCCTTCGAGGTTGCATCTGAACAATTTCCTTCCGTAGATGTGGTCGAGGAGCTTGAAGAGTCGCTCGAGTGCGAAAGATTCCTCTTTCTTTTACGAACAAAAACAAATTCATTGAAACAGATTGATTATCCTTCACTTGAATTATTTTCACCGTCAGAGCTTATATTCTAAGCACTGTCTAAGGGCGTTTAAGCCATTGCGACATGTGGGCAAGAAGAAACGCGGGAAATTCTCGACCCCAGTTGACTCCGCGCGTGACGTACGATCCGTCATTTCGTGATTGCGCATGTTCAGTCATAGTAATCCGTTTCGAAATTTCGAAGCGCGCAAATAATGGTCAAAGAGCAACAAAATTTTACTGAGTACTTAATTTCTTAATTTTACTGAGTACCTGGTTGCGAAATACAGTATCAACAATGAATTATTTAAAGTCTCGAAGATCAGAAAACCTACGGTTACGCGTTAACGGTTGTTACTTGGAACAAGTTATGGATTATGGACACTGTACTGTTGACAGGTTTGTATGAAGCACTGTTATAATTTGTACCCTGGTGAACTTGGAAGAGGTAAGTCCATGTAATTTTGTCTAACGGAATTTAGAATGATTTCACAATCATGTAAAAAAGTAGCTTTCTACTTTACTTCATTACGTGAAGCACGAATGCAATCGGGTAAGTAAAGAGTATTTCCCCCAGTTGTTCTCAATTTTGTAATCGGTCAGTGTAAAACGCAGACTGCGGACCAGGGGTAAAATGCAGACTGAGTATAAAATGCAGACTGCAGACTAAGAGTAAAACGCAGGCTGGGGTAAAATGCAGACCGAGCATAAACTGTAGTCGTGGAAGGGTTTAAGGGCAGAAAAATCCCGCAAATACATGCAAACGAACACTTACTTGACGACATCTGCTTTTACAAATCCATTCCTTTCTTCTCTGGAACATCATCAATGACCCGAAAACATAATAGCAATCTTGAACCTTTTTTTCCGTCCGAGAGACTTCTGATCACTTCACGCTTCAACTTTAAATACGAAGTTTTCGTTATACGTGACCAGGGACCGTGAATTGGTGCAACACCACGATGTTTACGCTTAAATGAAAGATGCTGACCCAAAATACTGTACAGGAAGAATATGGCGATAAAAAAGGGAGTAAATGAGAAAGATGTTCTGCAGGAAATTTGGTTGACCTTCTTAAAGTGTTGCAAATCAAGGTACGCAGACTTAAGCTGTTCGGGTGTTCATTGAAACTTCTGGCGAATGTGCAGTGCACTTCGACTAGGAAGCGAAGTGTGTAACTGATACCGGCTAGCTATTTCACCGATTTGGAGAAGAAGGAGCACAAATGTTTAAAAATGTCTAAAGCCTTTATTCTGCATTTTGCACCTAGCCTGCGTTTTACTCTCAGTCCGCAGTCTGCAGTCTGCAGTCCGCAGTCTGCAGTCCGCAGTCTGCGTTTTACACTGACCGATTTTGTAATCCACTTTTCACGCTGCAACCTTAAACATTTTTCTTTAAATATATTTGTGTTAGGCCTGTTTCAAGTATGATGCTACTGCTGTGCAAAACCCAATTGATAGATGAAATTTACTTTAGCGCATCAGCGGCACAACATTAATTTGAAATAATTCAGTTCGGTAACTTGAATTTAGTTTTACACTGCAATAACATTCAACAGGGTCTGCAGACTGGCAAAGATCGGTGCCAAACATCGCCTCAATTCATAAATTATGAAAATGTACATTGTGTATATGTTAAAGTGTTTTGACACTACATTACTGTGCATGACTGTGATGTTTTCTTTATTTTGAATTTGGCGTGACTGAATTAAATTCGACGTTTGAAACCACTCCCTAGCTATTGTTGTGCAACTGAGTGCGTAAAATTAATTTGAGTTTGACACAGCAGTAGCGGCATTTGAAACAGGCCTTACTGCATGCAAAATCAAGCCCTTCTATTTTCCAATGCTGTTCATTCCAGCAAGATATTGACTCTGAGAGTGAAGAGGAAGATGTTGTTGGAGCAAGTTTTGACTGGACTGGTGACAGTACCTTACCATTAGACGTACGTGAGTAGCAATTTTCAGATATACTAGAACTCTAAATATAAAAATTGTACCAGTTATTCTAGTACTGTTGTGTGGCAATACAACAAGTAAGGAGACCTTAAACTGATGAGCAACAAGTTAAAAGAATTTAAAAGCATGGATTTAGCGCCTTAATTATCTACATTAATATGCTCAGGGTGCAAAGAAAGTCAGTTTCACAGCTTGCCATTCAGTCAAGCTGTAGCTAGCATGTATACTAGCCCACAAGTCATTTCAACTAGCCCCAAAACTATTTTTGATTAGCAGGATTGTTTACAGTCCTTCTGTAATTTGAATTTCCCCAAAATACAGCACTTGCCCTTTGGGCAAGTTAAGAACAAAAATCACTAGTCCAATAGCAAAATCCACTAGCCCCAGGCTATCGGACACGACTTTCTTTGCACACTGATGCTTAACTTTCATGAGGATTTTAAGCCTTAGTGACAGTGCCTTCTACACTGTACATTATATGTGCTTGCAATTTGTGAGAATTCAAGGCAAGACACAAAATATTGGGTAATGCATAGTTCCAGTTGTCATGAAAAGAAACCGGGAATAATTTTTTTCAATTTTGATTTTGGGAAACTCCAGACTTAGGATTAATGTAGCTTGAGAAAGTGATAACCCTACAATGAGTAAGTTTTGTATGACTTCCATGCAGCAATTACACTGTACGTTGGTTCTCAATTCTTTTGTGTATTTGTTTTATAGTTAAAGCTAGATGACGATGTGGGGGAAGCATCTGGAGCATCTGCATGTAATACACCATCCAATCGACCTCTAGTATGTAAACTTACACATGATCATCAATTTTATTTCAAAATGGAAATATAAAGGAAAACAAGTGGGAACCCTCTCTTATGAGTTCCAAAAATCCCCCCCTCCTCCATGATTTTTCTTTCAAATGAATTTGAAATAATTAGAAGACACTTCTGCAGGCACAAGAGAGGGTTCCTCTTATAGTGTGACTACTTTTACCGGGGCCACTAAGGTAAAATTGAATTGCAAGAAAACAATACATTTCAAGCAAAAAATGCCCAGGAGACCTGTAATTTCTCTGACACAAGATGTTATTTTCACATGTACCAGCAATTTCTTCACTTTTATTTGTGCGCTTTGCAATAACATGCAACCGCAAGTCAAAAATATATAATTATCGTTTACATTTTCTCACCTCCATCCTTCACCCTTAAATTGACCTCTTGGGAAACGTATGCTATCTTCAGTGGGTTCCAAAGGTCACATCTGTCAGTTGTAATTGGTTGATTTTGATCCATGTTGTTTATTTGGTTTCGTGGTTTGTGATTGACAACTAATTTTCTCGAAATGTATTGTGGTTTTCCTGTAATCCGATTGGTCAACTTTGTCTAGGGGCCCAGGTTACAATTGTCACAGTGACTGACAAGCTAAAGTACATTTGTATATTATTTTCACAGCCAACTTTCACTGGAAGAAATGATAGCAAGAAGAGAGACAGGTAAGAAAGCTCAAGAAAAGGTGTGTTACTGTATATGAACTGAAATATAACTAGTAATTTTAACCAAAAGTTATGGAACGTGAGCAACAAAGATTGAAGGTTAAAACACTTTTGCAGTGCTGTGCTTTGTGTAAGTCTTACTTGACAGATGTTCAAAACATGCATGATCAGATTACGAGTGATCGAAGGTCCAAACACCCGTGATCAAATTGTGTTATGTGCATTCCATTCATTCTTAGTGGAAATCCAAATGAATGCTGGCTACATACATGTACAGTTCATGCTACGCATGCATAATAACAACCTGGGCCGGGTTGTTCGAAGTTGGGTTAAGATAACCTACAGTTAGTGCGAAATTTGGACTCGGATATGAGGGCTTAAAAAGCAAATTCAGTTTAATTCTCTTTGCCTACAATTTGATGATTGGATACTCTAAAAAGAATAGAGAAAATTATCCAAGAGAGTTCTTTTGATAACAAGATAAGGAAACCCGGGTTAAAATTTAACCCCGGGTTAGCGCTAACCGGCATTCAAACAACTGGGCCCTGGAGATTAGGATTGTTGCCCACAATGATACAGAACACTGGAACGCTGTCTCTGTGACCTCTAAGGGACCATGACATTCAGGTCATAATAATGAGCTGGACCTTTTATCAACTGTAGGTTTTATAATAAAGTTCAGATATAATACGCACTGGTTGTAACATGAGTGTGGGCAGACTTTACCCTTTAAGGCCCAATATCCACATACAAATTCTCCAAACTGATCTCCATACATCTCCTTTAAAATTATTAGTTGAGAGAATTTGATTAAAGATCATGGAATTTTCTCTATGATGATCATTTTATTAATTCTCATAACTTTGTCTCTTGACAGTGTATGGATATTGTTAGGAGAAAATTGTTGTTGGTCACTATTGGGACTTAAAGGGTTAATCATGAAGCTCAATGATCTGACATTAATTTTGTTGACACAACCTTTTACTTCACCAGGGTAGTAAATAAAAACCAAGTGAACTAACTCAATATTGATTTTGCTCTTGTGTTATTTTGTTTTGTTTGTTTGTTTGTTTTTAGAATAAAATATATTTTTTGTTGTCTTTAGCCAACTTTTTTAACAAAGGAACAGAGAGCAATGGAAGCATTGAAAAGACGACAACAGCAAGTTGAGGAACAGAAAAAAAAGACTGAGTTAAGAGGTGCATGTTTTGTCCCTTTTTGTGACTTCCTTACATATGTGAATTTCTTAAATTTATTTTGCACCAGACTTTGGTCGTTTATAGAGATGGTTGCTCATTCAATGGATGTAATTTCTTAATCTCACTATCTATAGATAGTGAGATTAAGAAATTACATTCACAGCAAATGGTGAATCCAATTTTATTTGTACGTGTACCTTGTGCTTAAGTCTTATCTTCACTAAAAAGCTTTACTGTTTATCATATCTACTTAATTATGAGAAATGTCATGCCAGTTCCATCCCTAAGAATACAACATAACTGTTTTGGACGGTTCCTGTTTATTATAGCTTATTTCTTAATTTGAGCAGAAAAATTAAAAATTTCATACCATCTACATCGACTCTCAGATGGTTCCTTTTGAGCTTTGCCTAAATAGCAAGCTGGGAGGCAGATAAAATAATTAGTTATTTTCTTTATAAGTTATTATTATGTTTTTCACCTTCCACTTGACCAATCAGAGCAAACAATACTAAAGTGGAACCCCACCTTACGGCCACCTCGGTAATATGGTCACCTCATTATTACGACCACTTTTTTTGGCTGCCCGGCAAAAATGACCGCATACATTTTCTTGTAAAGAAATCCTCGTTAATATGGACACCTCATTATTACTGCCATTTCTTTTGGCCCATCGGTGACCATATTAGCGGGCTTCCACTGTACCAACCAGTTTGGATAACTTTCGAAAACTGAAAATTTTTTTGTGGCTTTTCATTTCAAAACAAACAGGAGGAGCGTCAAATGAGAGAGAAGTTTTTAAGAGAGGCACATTATTCAAGAGGTAAGTATTAGAAAAACCTTTTTAATTAGGAGAACCCAAATCATTTCACACTGTTTTAATGTTTTAAATATCACAGCACAGAAAAGTACACATAATTATTAATGAAAACAAAGATGAAAAGAAAAAGACGGATTATTTTTACATAACTACATATACAACGAATGAAACTGACAGTAACATGAAATAACTGAGGTTTAATTTAGGCCTGACATTGCTCAACTTTCATAGTTTCTCTAGGAAAGGAAAAGAGGAACGGGTGGATGGTTTTACTTTAAGTGGGACTTACATGTGTAGCTTAAACAATGCAATTAGCGAGTTAATAGGGTATTAACAGGCGCAAGCCAACAAAGTTAAATAAGGAAAAGTTTCCATTTGTTTCAAATAATTACAGCAATGTGCTACTCGTCATTCTATCTCAATGATGGAATTTAACTTAACCCTTAAAGAGGGACATTCATGAAAATGCTCCAGCTAATTGGTGGGAGTAAAGTATAATTACATGATATCTCCCAAGAAGAAGAATGAGGACGATGACTTTACTTCTTAGTACAGTTTGCTGTATTATGATCTTGTTTATAAAAGGAGCTGTGTCACGAAATTCAGCCAAATTAGGAAATTACAAAATGCCTGTTTAATTAAGAGAAACATAAAAATAACCGCTTAAAACTTTAAAGGAAGGTTCAAATAACATAACAGAAACAACAGATGCCACAGATGGGCGAAGCTGAAGAAGACTGAAATGGATTGAAATTAGGGTTTTCAGTTTTCCAAAGTTGTTCCCTGCTGCTTGCAACTTCAAAAATAATGCTCAGGAGACATACAGGCATATTTGTTTGTCTTGGATCTCTGATTTTGTCTCTGGGTAACTTTTCTTGCTGAAACCTCGAAAGGCTTGGCAATAATCCTCATAACTATTGTACTGAGTTTTACGATTTTGTCATTTACCTGTAATTTCTTTACTTACTTTAAAATACAGCGATTGAGGGCAAGTAATTGGCAAAAGTAAACAAAATTTAATTATGTAGATAAACTTTAAAATATATAATATTTTTCATTTTCTAAAGAGGACGAAGTGGAAAGGGAAAGAAGAGAAAGGCGGGAAAGAAGAGAAAAGAACCAAACTGAAGAAGAGGTAGTGTCTTTGCCTGCTAAGGGCAATAATAGGTGGATCATGATTTTTTTCCATAGTGGTCCAAAGTGGACCTCACCATCAAAACTATTTTACAGCTAATTATTTCCACCCTTCATGATAGTTATTTTCTAGTAAACTTCAACTACTTAGATCCATAAATTTGATCCTTTATTGGTAATAATTAATTCTTTTTAGTTTAAAAGCTGTTAGTTATTCCATTACATTTTTTTCTGGTCTGAGGGGTGAATTTAAGGGGGTTTTGGATCCCATGATCTTATCCTGGTTCAGTCACTACAAGGGTCTAGATAATGAACATTAATTGGGAGGAACAACTTGCGATATTAATTTTTATTTACTTATTAGTGCAAAGTTAATGGTGAGTGATTATTAGCAAGAGTGAAGATTAGATTTCAGTTATTTATTTACTTTGTTCAAAAACTCTTTTTTTAGGCTGAGAGTGAAAAAGAAAGGCTGCGAAAGGTACTCAGGCTTATTATAGATTTTACCAAAAACTCAGGAGGGGTTATGTAAAATAATAAATTACAGCTTTTGCAAAAGATTTTACAGACGAATGTATTTACACAAGAATATAAAGCAAACCCCATAGAAACAAATACAAATGGTAGCTTAGATTAACATTTTGGCATCCTGCAAATGAGGAAAAAATAGTAGTCTTATAACATAGCACATACATTTAAGAATCCCAACTGTTTGGAGTCATGCCAGTTGACTATCTTCAAGCAGGCATGGCTGAGGAGTTGAACTTGCCCTTACTGTGAACAACCCTTGTTAGTGGCAAGGGCATGATTTTAACCTGATGTGATTAAGTTTGAATCCAGCACCCCAGTGATGCAACTTGGTCATTCTGACTCCTTCAAATCTTAAACATTTTTATCTAAGGGTCTAGGTGGTGTTCATTTTGTAGTAAACATGCACAGTGTAGTTCTCTTTATTCTTGTAGGAGAAAGCTGGGAGCAAGATAAAGAGGTGCAAGCTATCAAGGTAATGTATCGTCATCTAAACGAGATTTGTGTGTGAACGAGACAGTGTTTATAAATGTATGCCATTAATAAAATTGCTAAAAGAAGGTAAAATCCTTATCTAGTGTACAAGTCAAAAAAATAGTCTGTTGCAGTTATTCAGATGGTATAGAATGGAAGATTGTCAGTACATGATTTCTATGAAACAACTAGGATTTTCTCTGAGAAAGATGATTTTTCCATCAGTGATCGACACAAGTGACTCGAAGAAAAAATCCCAGTTTTCCAAAAGGCCGATTTAGACAGTATGATTTTTGCTTTTGACTATCATTCTCGACTAGCATGCGTCCTGTCTTCATGACAGATTGTGTCATGTAAATTAGACCCACTACATTCGTACGACACATTGTGGATGTCATAAGTGAAAATTGTGCGCGTGTGGATGGTCAAAAGGCTTGACGTATGCTAGTCGTGCACAATGGTCATGAGCAAAGATTGGACTGTCTAAATCAGCCTAATAGGAGTTGAACCTATGACCTTGTGGTTACCAGTCCAGAGGCTCTACCACTGAGCTACAGGATACTCGTGGAAGCTGAGACCTGGATTCATGAACCCAGGAGTAAATGTTAGGCAGAAGGGGTCAAGCTGGCATTGCTAGAGCACAGCCTTGGTTTTTAAGATAGTGTTGGAAGGCAAAAGGTCTTGTAAGTTCATAAAAATGTCTACTTAGAGAAACTTGGAAACTACCTACCTATCCCTCCCCTAACCCCAAATTTTGCCCAAAGGGAAACATAGTAGTGTCGTTGTTGGTTTAGTGGGGGGGGGGGGGGGGAGGTGGGCAAATCTGAGAATTTTATGCTGATCTAAAAGGTACATGGGCCAGTTTTTTGTGCCATTTTTTTAGTAGGGAGCATTTTGTATACATTGTCTGTACAAATTAGTGGGAATTTTATGGCTTTTTGTCTCCACAAAGTGACTGTTTTTTCACTGCTCGATCCTGATGTGATTTATCATTGATTTTCTGTGCGAGTGTTACTAAGAATCTACCTTGGCAGAATCATTCCTAAAATTGCATTAAATGTCACCTGCGTAAATGGGCCTTTGACAATGTTTATCTGTCCTGCTTCATTCCAGGAGCGATACCTTGGTGGAGCCAAAAAAAGAAAGAAGGTTCGTCGTCTTGCTGACAGAAAGTTTGTGTTTGACTGGGACACTGGGGAAGACACTGCTGTCGACTACAATCCACTGTAAGTAATCACGACTGTACCAAGCTTTTTGGTGCAATCACCATTGACACATTTAGTTGAAACAAGCTTTTTTATTGATTTTTGGTGTAGTAGTTTTTATTTATTTCAATAAGTATTATTGAGACACATAACAAATTGGTTTTATTCTGTTTGTTAAAAATACAAATCATTGCAAATTATTGAATGAAGATTTGCCACAGTTGACGACTGTATTGCTGTATTGTACCAATAATTATTACGACTGCTCTTAGCTTGCTCTTCATTCAAGTGCCTAAAAACAACACAGGCTCTTGTCGGCAGTCCGGAGGTACTTATCCAATGGTGTAGCTGTTAAAAATTTGGCTGTTTTAATAATACACCTCCTGTTTGGACTAAGATTTCAATGTTGCCAGGTATATACAATTAGGAGGTCAGGAACTGGACAGGTAGCAAGTTCTTTTCCTTCTATATTTTAAGAAATCAATTAGACCATAGAAATGACATGAAAATGTTCATAACTCAAGTGAGCCACGAGCCGTAGGCCTTTGAAAGTAGCAGGGGGTCATATTCTTAGTTGCGGGGGAAATCCCAAGCCCCTGGGCGTCACTGACAGCGCTGATTAATGCCGGTTATTAAAACAGATTTCACATCTAAACATAGTTTGTTGTTAGAGCGACTTTCTCATGACCTTGAAATGGCTTTTGGTTAGTTAAGCGAACGCTCGGGTGAAAACACTTTATGCCCGAGAACTTTCTAGAAATCAATCGATACGTCGCTTTGACGTCATAATGCAACGCGATTGGCCAGTCGAACGATGCCTTCTCTATATTAGGGTTTTCTTTGGCGGGAAAACGAAGAGGCCATGTTTTGATCTTTTCATCCATTGGCTGATAAAACAAATAACGAACACTTACATTTGTACCTAAACCATTTCTCAAGGTCCTACGAAAATCGCTCTAACAGCGTCGAGAAGGCGAACAGAACTTATCCATCTACTTATATTAATGAAATAGACACCTTACAAACAGATTTGGAGGCTTCTCGAGTCTCTAAAAGAAAAGTGAAAATAAACAAGACTTTGTTCAAGTAACCAGCCCAGGGAGTTAAGTTCTGATATTCTTCTCGATCAAGAAACATACATTCAGTCTGTGCAACACTCCTTTTTACTTACAAGTACTTGTCTCGCTTAGCTATACAGAAAAGCATCAAATTCAGCTCCTTGGAAGAGGACATATTGGTGGAATTGATATCAAGGTAAACATTCAAAAACAGCTGGGGTATCTAACCACCGTCGAAATCACGGAACTAGATTGTTCAGAGAAGTGTTCAAAGTTATGGATGAATAAGCAGGCAACAGATGCAGGGGCGGATCAAGGATTTTTCTCAGGAGAGGTTGCATCACTAAGGAATGGCTTAACTGACTGGTGACGTAAACAAATTTTAAAAGCGAATACCAAGAAGAAGGCTTTTGCAGGCTTTTGACTAGGCAATAACATAATGTGAACAGCTGAGAATACATATCAAACGGTACAGCAGAATTGAGACAAACTACCATTTTTAGGGCGTTTAACATAAATTCTCCAACCTCCGCTCGTCTCGTGTTTTACTTCAGGACCAATAAACGAGTTGTATTAGAGAGCCGCTGCACGTGCAGAGTTGTTGTTTTGCTTAATAAACCTGTCGCTTTTTGCCGTTCTCGTTGCCGTGGCCGTTGTTGTCGCTAAAGCTGCCTAATATTATGCCAGGAAAGGTTTAAACTTTCTACGTCTCAATGGGCGCGGCTCAGTCTCCAAAGAAAATATGAATTCTCTAGTGATGTACTTTTTTTGGCCTGTATTAGGATGATTAACAATTAGTCCTCGAGCCCGAATGGGCTCTGAGTCAATAGCCAATGAGACCGAAGGCCTCGTGGGCTATTGAATCAGAGGCCCTGAGGGCGAGAGGAATACTTGTTTTAGTACAATCCAACTAGTTGGTCAAACATATCGAGAATAAAGAAATGTTTAGCTGGTTAAAGCGAGACTTTAATCCTTTTTTGCCGCCAAAAAGCCCGCGCTTTTCGCTACTACTGGGCTATAACATATAGCCTGGTAGTAGCTCAACCAATCAGAACGCAGCATTGATCATATACCACTAGTTGGATTTTACTAAAAGTGGTTAGCCCCTCTACAACAGCCACTCTGGCCCTTAGGTGGCCGTCCTTTTGAGGCTCGGCTGTGTATTAGAATGTTAGTATGTAGTGAGGTGACAAGTCTTAAAGTAAAAATCCTTGGAAAATGAATTTTTTTTTCTTCCCAGTGGCAAAAGAAGGAGACAGGAAAGTTTTATCAGGAAATGTTGGAGACAAGACGAACTGTTGAGGAAAAGACCCAAGAGGCGTAAGTATCTTATCTTGTCAATAATTAACAAAAAAACTACTTACACTGACGCGAATTGCATTTGAAATTAGTTCAACCTTAGAAGAGATAAAAGTTGTCCCGAACGGGACAAATTATGTCTTATGTGCGCATTGCACTGTGATTGATGTACGTTTGCCGTGCATTGTTGAAAAGCCTGGTTCCAGCGTACATGTATGTCAATCGAGTTTTCCATCGTTTGCTTGTTAGTAAGGGGAAAAAAAGGAAAAGTCTGGGAAAAGCCTCGAATGTTCCATCCAAAACTCTGTTCGAACCATGCTCCAGTTGTGGATACTATTTCTGCTTCTCTGCTTCTCTTGGGGATTTAGAATAACGTTTACGGCAAACGGTTAACGTCAGATGGAAGTGGACAATTATGAGAAAAATCCAATCCAAAATCCTTCTTACTTTCTTACTGATGAACCTCAGTGGAATAAAACTTCTAATATTAGAGAGCTTTAGATTTAAGGACCAGTACAAGTGCGCGATTTAACTTCAAATTTTTGCTCGTGTTCTCAAACAAAACAAGACACCCAGGAAAGCTTCACTGTACTTTTTTCACCAAAAAAGTTAGCAGGGTTATTTATATGGCAGAAGGTTAAGCCCTCTCCCGATAGCAAAATGATAAAACTTTCTTACATTTGATAACTTGCTCGCACCACTACGACTTCCTTGCTAAAACTCCTTGTAGTATGTCGACGGCTATCACGTTTTCCCGCCAAAATGACGCCGGTTCACGCTTGAGCAATACTCAGTATTGAGAAAATCTTGTACTCGTAGTCGTCCTCGGCAAAGAATCTAAGGGTGCGTTTCTTTACTAAAATCCAAATCCGGATTTCTAATCTGATCTCGGATTTTAGTGAAGAAACGCACGCTAAAGCTCCACATTTAAGTAGATGTAAAAAACAATAAACGACAAGTAAAGCGGAAACTTGGTCACGTGGTACAAATTTCCGTTTGCCGTTTGCCGTTTGCCGTAAACGTGACTCGTGTTTCCTTCTTTTTTAGGACACGAATAAAGAAGCAGCGTGATCAGGAAAGACAGCGTGCGTTCGATGATCGTCACTGGAGCAAAAAATCCTTGGAGGAAATGGTGGAAAGAGATTGGAGGATCTTGCGAGAAGATTTCGCCATCTCTACAAAAGGCGAGAGATTCTAGGACAGGCCGTTGAAATCTAGTCGTTTTTGGTCCTGGCCTTGTTTTATCTGTGGTTTTTTTCTTTTTGTCTGTGGATTGCTCTGTGTACTGTTAAATACTAACATAGTTGCAGTCTTAATCGTCATTTCCGTCGCAACTGAAGAAAAACGACAACTGACGTGTTATTACCCAAGGAATGAGCTGATTATCACTAAATACTCTTAGCTGCAAGGAATTTTTTTCAGAAAATGAGAACCAATTTAAGAACCAAAATAGCCTAAATTTGTTCTTATTACCATTTATGTAAGAACGTGTTAAGGCTAACTAGGGAAAACATAGGTTCTTACTCACGGGTCATTACTGTATTTTCTCCCTCCTCATTGCAGGTGGCAAGATTCCATTTCCTCTTCGCTCATGGAGAGAAAGCACCCTTCCAACTTCAATATTGGATATTGTAGACAAACTGCAATATGAGGTAAGCCGGTCATTTTGATACAAAGTCGTTTCGATACTAGTCGTTCGATACAAACTCAAGAAGTGAAATTGCACAAAAATTTCGATCTCTTCGAGTAAAGTTCGCAGTTGAACAAGAAATACATTTTGGTCGAATATTCTTCGTTCTTTAAGCCAAGTACGTGAAATTATTTACATCTCGAAGGAATTAACTTGTATCGAAACGACCGGTAACCCTTTAGCTTAGTCACTTATCTCCACCCAAATGTCACAACCTGAATGGCGCTGGTTTAATTTTTCACATTCAAGTGAAACTGTTTCTTTACACCCATATTCATAGTTTGTAAGGTTTGGAAGACGGAGGCAATGTTAGTATTCCTTGCACAATGGGTGTGAGGGTTAGACTGTCAGAGTATACAGTGATAAAAAATCTCGAAGCATCATCGGCTACATGTACGCTTTTCTTAATCTAGTCACTTATTTAACCACAGCAGGGCTACCTCAGTTGGTAGATCAGCAATGGTTGCAGATAAGAAAGTTGCAAGTTTGATCTCCGTAGCTAGGCCAGCACTCAGTGTTGCAAAATAACTGAAAAAGAATGTTCTGCTCCTTGCAAACGGCTAGACCTTCGCGCGGCTTGGATGACCACTTTGAATACAATTGACTTTGAAATAAAGTCGTTTTTTTAATTTATTTTTCATCTGTTTATTTACTGGCTAGTTTGATCTACGTAAAAGGGAAAGAAGTGATGTTATCTTAAGGGCAGAGTTTACGCTCAGAATTATATGACTTTTTCCATGTGAAAAAGTTCGTTTAACTCGTACAAATGTTTCATTTGCACAGAGCGAAAGTAAGACTTTAGAACAACTCGTAGATAATTTATTCTGTGTGTTCACAGGAACCAACACCAATTCAGCGCCAAGCCATTCCCATTGGACTTCAGAACAGGGACATCATAGGAGTAGCTGAAACAGGTGAAGTGAGAACTTAGTAGGGTTGACTATTGGGAAAATTTTAACGATAGAAATTGTATTGTAATAGGTCACACGGATATTGAGAGTAGGCGAATAACACCTTTTTTTTTTTTAATAAAAAGGTAGTGGTAAAACAGCAGCATTTCTGATTCCTTTATTGGTGTGGATTATGGGGCTGCCAAAGATTGAACGTGACGCAGATGCTGATAAGGGACCTTATGCTGTAATCTTAGCTCCGACCAGGGAACTGGCGCAACAGGTTAGTTGTTCAATTCGCCCTTAGGCGAGTTGGCATGAGGGCCTCATGTCAACTCACCAGGGAACTGGCACAACAGGTTAGTTGTTCAATTCGCCCTTAGGCGAGTTGGCATGAGGGCCTCATGTCAACTCACCAGGGAACTGGCGCAACAGGTTAGTTGTTCAATTCGCCCTTAGGCGAGTTGGCATGAGGGCCTCATGTCAACTCACCAGGGAACTGGCGCAACAGGTTAGTTGGTCATTTCGCCCTCAGGCGAGTTGGCATAAGGGCCTCATGTCAACGCACCAGGGAACTGGCACAACAGGTTAGTTGGTCAATTCACCTTCAGGCCCCAAGCGTTTCGCCCAAACAGATGAGGCTCGCGTGCAAGAATTCACGCTTCCGTTGCGTTGTGCCTTAAGGGGCAGCGGGTATTTTTTTACGAAAAAAGCCGAGTTTTTGTGGTCTACCTACATTCATGGGATTAATACATACGTACATACATATATTCTTGTTTCCTCCCCAAAGGGGCTTTTCAGGAACAATCATTACAAATGTATTTACAATCAATACATTTAATTACAACACTTACATTAGTACTGATTACAATGCTTAGCTTGTTACTAATTACAATACTTAACTTAGCTAAGAAGCATTTACAAAATTATCTAAAAGCTTGTTAAGACAGTAGTACGCCTTCTCGTCAGCAGAGGGGGGGGGGGGGTAAGTACTTTTATTGTTACAAAGGTATACCGCATTAAATCAGAGCCAACGGTGCATTTGTTTTTCTACTCTTGGTAGATCGAAGATGAAGCTGCCAAGTTTGGTCGTCCTCTTGGCGTCAGGACAGTGTCCGTGATTGGTGGGGTAAGAAATCTACGCATAAGTCTAACAATGTCGTTATCAATGGTGTCGTAACTGCCCTGGGTGCAATGTTGGAACAATTCGAAACAATGTTGCAACGCTGTGTTGTGCTAAAATCGTCCCGTGAACATCACCTTAAATCATGTTCGCACATCGAATCCGCCTTAGCGAGGTACAACGTGGTTCATCCTACATATTGTTAGAGCGGACATCTGTGGCCAGGACATGTCGTAGTTCGTGCGGTAGAAGTTCCGTCCCGGTCGCGAGAAGAATGGAACAGGACAAAGGTTTCCAACCGTGCCTTTATTCCTTCTCCAACTTCCCTCCGAGCTTAGAATTGCTTTCCTATAATTCGTAGAGACAGTTGTGGCTCGGTTTCGAAATGAAGTGATTCCCTGAGAAATGCGTGAAAAGAATTTCATGGTTGTTGAGCCCGGAGGTAGTCGCTTATCAGGGAGTCTAAATACAGCGTTTGTGTCAAATGGGATTTTGAAATCGATAAGAGAGATAAGCACTCAGCCATAAAAGAATATATAAAAAGTCAGTTAACACCTACCTTTTATACATTTTATCTCCAGCTTTCTCGCGAGGACCAAGGATTTCAGCTAAGGCTTGGCTGCGAGGTAAGCTAATCTGTTCCCCTTTCGTACGCTAAAACTAGCCTTCGTGGCCAAACCGAGAGAGGGAGGAGGAACTTCCCTCCTCCCTCGCACGCTCCTCGCGGTATCGTGCGCCCGAATTCCCCCTCCCACCTTTCCCCGATCGAACACCTGCCTCGTAAGTCACACTAAAACGCACTCTCCAGACAAAGAGGGTGAAGAAAAATTCATTCACCACTTAAGAAATGGGAAGGGAACTGGGGCCCATTTCTCGAAATGTCCCGGTAACTTTTCGGGCCGGAAATCAAATATTCAAACCGAAATATAAAGATTAAGAGTGCGGGTCCTGGCCAGCAAACTACTCCATTTTGTTTCATTAACTGATAGTTTTGTTAGATGCAAAACTATTGAAACTTCGATATTTAACGTAAACGGGAGACAGCTTACCGGGCCCGTTAATAGTAGGGACTGTCGAGAAACGGGCCCCTGGAGCCGAAATGCGTGCCGCAATTGTTCCTGGGATGGTTACTAGGGACGTGCCGGTCAGCTATTGGCCAATTTTTTTCCTTGTCCTTAGTAAGAGTTCCAGAAGTCTTTGCAAAAGTTAACTCGGCCCAGATTCCCTCTCCTTTTTAAAGTGGCGAGTTTTAGAGAAGTGTTTGTTGCCTTTTATGTTAAGATGTACCGCTGAGTACTTACTCCGTTATAATTTTTTTTTTTCAGATTGTCATTGCTACACCTGGTCGTCTGATTGATGTACTCGGTAAATGTTTTCTTTATATTTCTCATTTCTGCTTGTGCAGTGTTGGCACCCTACAGTATCACGAGATGATTCGAAAACTACAATCATTGGATTTCTAGCGTTTTTTCGAAATAACACTATAACACTTGAGTCTACTTTTATCCGAACCGTCCTTAGCCAAGTGTAGTTGTCTTGTGTTAGTGTAGTAAGTTTTTGTTTGGGTTAAACAGGGTAGGAAATTTTCCTTCATCAACGGCCTCTGTTCCTGGAATCGATGAAGGTTTCAATCCAGGACCCCAGTCCTAACTCCATTAGTTCTTTCCCTACTGTTCCTCTCCTTGTCTTTCAGGGTTTCTCTATCTTTCGTGCCTTCAGTTCTGGTGCCCATTTGATGGCGTTGCCGGAATTTGAATTAAACCAGAATTAGAGTTAAACTCAGTTATTCAGAATTCAAGGAGATGGCAAATGTGAATCTGTGGAGTTCCAATTTCGTTGTTCATAAGATTTGAAGTAATTGATGGAAGCTTTTTGTTCTTCTTTCTCTTACAGAAAATCGATACCTTGTACTCAGTCGTTGTTCATATATTGTTCTTGATGAGGTTAGTAGTTTCAATTTGTTTTATATTTTTTTGCGTTATTTTGAATCAGATAAAGAATAAGCTTTTTTACAAAGGAAAATGCGATAGAAAGCCCTACTCTGTACTCAATCATTTGTCTTTAGAAAATCTGAGCCATGTCTGTGGTACTATTGTAGGCTGATCGTATGATTGACATGGGCTTTGAACCAGATGTTCAGAAGATCTTGGAGCATCTTCCAGTGAGCAACGTCAAACCTGATTCAGAAGATGCCGAGGATCCAGAAAAGCTGTTAGCTTATATGGGAAAGGACAAGTTTAGACAGGTTCGTATAAATAAGTTAATTAATTAAACCGTGGGCTCAATGTTTCCGTGTTTATTGACCGGGGAGCTTGTTAGAAGTAAGCGGGGTTTAAAGAATTTTCACAGTTCGCATGAAGTTGCCTTTAATATAATATCTGTTTGTAGCCTTCACATTTCGTTTTCTTCCAAAGCGAAAATAGGAGACGTCTCGTCGATATGATGTTGAGACTCTAGTCAGTGGACACTACTAGAATGTAGTGTAACCACTAGTTGAACTTTTGAACAATATTACTGGAGACCTTTGAACTGAGATTCGTATCATTGGCTTTTCTGTTTCACCTTGTTTAGACTGTAATGTTCACGGCAACAATGCCTCCACAAGTAGAACGCTTGGCCAGAAACTATCTAAGGTCAGTTATCGGTTTGACTATTTACTCAAACTGTGTTTTCTAAGCAGATGTGCTTCATGACGATCTATCCATATACAAAGCCGCTCACAGCAACTGTAAATAACTAAATAATAAATAATTCCGTAAATATACCCCACGGTAGACTACAAGCAGTCTCTCTTTTTTCTTGGTCCCTCAAGCAAAACGCGCGAGACACGCAAGTGACCACGCTCGTGATTAAGGGCGCGAGACGGAAGAGGCACGAGAAAAGAGAGACTCTCTTTTTTCTTCTCGGGATTCCGACCTCGTTTCTCGCGGCTCGACACTCGCGCAAGCGTGCACTCCCCTCACTAAATCTGAAGTATTTACCGCGCCAAACCAGTGACACCGAGCAAACGACTGAAAGAAATAGATCAAATAGACCATTTCCGAGCTCAAAAAACCCTCACTTTAAAAAAATGCGAGGCCGTGTGCCTGATTCCATTTGTGAAAGTGAACTTCATTTGCTTGAGAATTAAAAAATCGTTTTCATATCAGAGACTTTCACACTTAGCTTCGTTTTAAAACAGAGGCTTGGGACAACTTGGAATTTGCCCATACACGTAACAAAACTAACAATACCAACTGCATAGAGGCAAACCAAATGAATATTTACAACCTTGGTTGAGGATTTGAACAAATCCAGCAAGCGATTAGGGCAGGTATTGAACCCAGGGTCTTCGGATAGCAAGTCCAACGCCTTAACCGCTCTGCCACGCTGCCGCCTACCCTTGAATCCCCAATATCAGCACCCATATTCCAGTTCTCATCATATTTATCATCACCTGTACGTTTAAGCAGTGATACGTTATGGAGCAATTAGATGCTGATCTACATCATAAAACGAGGAGCATTGACGAATAATTCTTTGTTAAAAGGCAATCTTAAGTGACTGGGAACCTAACATTGTGATGGTTTATTTTTCTTTCAGGCGCCCAGCTGTGGTTTACATCGGTTCTATAGGTAACAAGTCTGTTTTAACCCTCCTTGAGCGGGATATACAGTGTAACGGGGATCTTTCTGTTCCTTTTTTTTCCCTTTGCTGGATTATGACGGTCACACATCGCTCATTGACGCTGCATATCCAACCAATTTTACCCCATACTGAATTATGCCAGGGATGATTTCCTGAAAACTAGCTTACCACGTTATGAGCTAAACTGCAGTTGTCAGGTTCATCTTGCGAGCCTGGTTCCTCAAAAGATATCAGTTTAGTTTAACCCAGGGTAAAACCTAATTTTAAGCAAAGTTTTCTTGTTGGAGGTTTTGAAATATTGTCCAGGTTATTAAAGCGGGCAGCCCTACTGTTTGTATTTCTGTATTAAAGTAATTCAATTTTCTCTCATCACTTCACAGGCAGACCAGTCGAGAGAGTGGAACAGAAAGTTTATTTGGTTAAAGAACAAGCAAAGAGGTACGCCTGCGTGTATCATCTCTTATATATTTATTAAACTGTAGCAATGTTAAAAAAATATATTTTCGCGAGATTAATAGCGGTGTACTGTAGTTTTTTACTTCGAGGTCACATTATATCTAACAGTTAAACTGTTTCCCGCCGAAATCTCTTAGCAGGCAACATTGCAAAATATATGACGCCAGAGGGTAACAGTGCACTGTTACCTGCGAATGTTGAGGTTTAATGAATTTCAAGCTATATAGCAAATCACTTCGGGAAACAGTTAATTTTGTTTCCGTTGAATCTCAATGTCGTCCTCAGCTTATTAGGAAATAATATTAGCTGCTTCGCTCGGAACCAGTCATTTTAAAAGTGTTTATTGTTGTTTGCTTGACAGGAAGAAGTTGTTAGAGATATTGAACGCTGGCATTGATCCTCCGATCATGATATTTGTCAATCAAAAGAAGGTGAGAGTTGCGTGTCACCGCAGCTGATAGTTGAGATGACGTACAAAGAAATAAACATAACCCACGGAAAGTGAGCGGAGATCGGTGAGAGCGAGGGCGGAGCTCTCATGCACTGACTCCCTCCTTGTCTTCGTTTAGCCCGCGTGGAAGGCGTTTGAAGGGGATAGGTTGGACGAGATGGGCACGCGAGGAAGGAGGGAAGCCATTGCGCGCCTTTCATGTAGTCGCGTGCCTTACTTCCCCTTTTCCCGTCTTCAATGCTGGCTAGTCTTCGTTCACCCCTTTAGTTTTCTCCGCTGTTTCTATCTGAGATCTTGCGACAGTATATCAGGGACCTTTAGGCTATAATCGCACTATACCGGATAGATTTTGCGCCGGCACCAAAATCATACCTGGTAGGGCTTCTGTTCACACATAAGAACGATGGTCTCGGAGCGGTTTCTGTAACGGAGCGAAGCTGCGTCTCGCCGATCTCTTAAGTGGAGAGTCGCATATCGGATAAGTTTTCGTACTGTACCGGATACCTTCTCGCTTCGGCACGAAAAGCTGTCCGTTGTAGTATGAATACAGCCTGAGATTGGATTACGAGTAGGAGGAGATTGAGTAGGAGCTTTCAAACCAAGTTCATGAGCTCCAGATAAACACTTTCCACAACAATCTCTTACGTCTCTCTACGTTTTGTTAGCAGCAGGAACAAGTGAGTTACCTGAGAACATAAATGGCTTGAAATTCCAATGTCGTACTCATAGTCGATGATCACGCACTCCGAGTCAAATCTAGAGGTTGCTAATTATGAGACGACATATCTGTAACAAAGTTTAGCTGATTAAATCTTTTTTCGTCTGTCTTAGGGAGCGGACGTGCTCGCCAAGTCCCTGGAAAAAATGGGCGTAAGTTATCGTTTGTTGGCGTTGGGCGTGGGTGATTTTATATCTTTTCTCTTCGATGTAGGCTAAGGTTTTGTTGTAATTTGTTTTACCAAACGAACTTTAGCCTACGAGCAAGCTCTCCATTGGGGGTGAGGACAGGGGGTTGGCCGGGGTGTGGGGTCGCGAGAAGTCACGCGAGAGCAGCACGCTTGCGCCTTTGCTCGCCATACATGGAGAGTTTGCTAGCAGGCTAAACGTACTTGAGTGAAGCAATGACTGCTTGAACGCCATTGCGGATCACTAAGTTGTTTTTATATAAGGGTTTTTTGTGCCAGGTAAAACGAGCAAATTCTGTTTTGGTCGTCAGTTTTGACTGACAGCGTATAAGGCGGATCGTGAACACTCGGGGCAAACGTTTTTCACTGTCATTCTTAAAGTGCCTGGTTTGCCCACTATTTGATTTCATCTTCGATCGTTTTTATCCTTTTGTTTCTTCAGTTGCATACCTTCCCGTTTTTTAATTTTCGTTCCCGAGAGCGGGCACATACATAACTTCCTGAATTTTTTCTTACAGTTCCGTGCTACAACACTCCACGGTGGACGAAACCAAGAACAAAGGTGAGGTTGAGATGTAACCTCTTCTTTTTATTTCGTCGTCATGGTTGTTAAATATCTGTTTTGTAAATCTAGAGAGACACCGAGAGTATAGGAAACTAAGAAAACAAGGGCCTGAACAAGGGTATTGGACGGATGGAACGATGTTTCAGTGAAATTCCCGACTGTTTTGTACACCAGTGTTGTCGTTTTTTACATGAAGTTATGATCGTCGCAGTGGTAGTTGTAATTTAAGCAATTACAAATATGTATAAACCCGAAAAAAAAAGAAATTCGGGACTTCATCGAACCCATGCACACTTAAAATTAAAGTGTAACATTACTCCAAAAAAAAGTGTAAAATCTTTGCCAGCCCCGGCAGCCTTTTTTTTCTGTGTATTATTACACAGTTTATATTAGTGTAATTTAACACACAACTAGAGGTTATGTTTACACACCAATCAGTGTAATGTGAGTGGTTTACACTTTGGTCAAGTGTAAAATTGCAGTTCTTATAAGTGTAATAAAATACTAATAGAACAGTAATATTACACCGAATGATAGTGTAGTAGCTTTGCCAGCCCCGGCAGCCTTTTTTTTGGGTGTATTATAACACATTTTATAATAGTGTAATTTAACACCCAACTAGAGGTTATATTTACACACCAATCAGTGTAATGTGAGTGGTTTACACTTTTGTCAAGTGTAAAATTGCAGTTCTTATAAGTGTAATAAAATACTAATAGAACAGTAATATTACACCAAATGATAGTGTAGTAGCTTTGCCAGCCCCGGCAGCCTTTTTTTTGTGTGTATTATTACACATTGTCCAATAGTGTAATTTGACACGCAACCAGAAGGTTCATTTACACACCAAACAGTGTAACTGTGAATGGTTTACACCTTGGTCAAGTGTAAAATTGCACTTCCCATAGGGGTAATAAAACATTAACAGAAAAGTAATATTACATCAATTTATAGTATTAGGCAAAAAAATTACGCATTTGAAAAATATAGGAAATCACATTTTTAATCACTGAATAATCAGCTAGACTTCTAACAAATATAAGTAAAAATGAAAGGTCAAGTGTGCAAGCCATGGTGTGTACTGTCTAACTGCTTAGGAGTGATGCGTACTGTCCTATCACAAATCAGTGCTTAGGGCAGAGCCGGAGGAGGTTCAATGTTTGAGCTGCAAGGTGGTACCCGGGAAAGATAGTTAGCAGGACGTCTTCCTCTCCAATTATTAGTATTTTTACAGTCATGTTGTAATGCCTTTCCCACAGTAAAAATGGATGGCAGTGCATCTGTTTTGTTTCCTCTAGATATTGTCCTCTTGTGGCTGCAACCTGCGTGACAAATGAAATTGAAAAAAAAAAAAGACTTGTTTTAGTCGATATTAAAGTGTTCTTAATTTATTGTATCGGTCATGAGGGTTGAAAATAGGACCGAGTGTTTTAGAGTTCCTTCTAATTGAACTAACACAATAATGCTCTCTTGACCAACATGGTTAAGGTAAACTACTTAAATTAAATTTCATTCACAAAATAATCACATATTAGGTTTAAGATGTAAAAAGGTTTTTTCTCTAGAGTCTTAGCAATCAAGTACATTTTTCCTCCTCTACAAAACAAAACACAGCTTCAGATATTCAATTCAGATATCAAATCACAAATTAAAATAACTCAAAACATGTGTTATTCCAATCCATGACCCCCAGTAACACTATAGGCGGGCCAAACCACCTGACTGAGTCATTAGTCAAAGGCGGGCATGAAAATTACCACCTTGCATATATAACTACCTGGCCGGTGGACCAGAGCCATGATGAAAACAAAACACACTATTAGACTTTATAACTTGGTATGGAAACAAAAGCTTGACTGGTATACAATTCAGATATCCGATCACAAAATTACTCAAAAAACATGTTTTATTCCAATCAATGACCCCCAGTAACAGGCGGGCAAAACCACCTGACTGAGTCGTTAGTCAAAGGCGGGCATAACCACCTTACATAACTGCCTGGCCGGAGGACCAGGGCCATGATGAAAACAAAACACACCATTAGACTTTATAACTTGGTATCGAAACAAAAGCTTCACTGGTATACAATTCAGATATCCGATCACAAAATTACTCAAAAAACATGTTTTATTCCAATCCATGACCCCCAGTAACAGGCGGGCAAAACCACCTGACTGAGTCGTTAGTCAAAGGCGGGCATAACCACCTTACATAACTGCCTGGTCGGAGGACCAGGGCCATAATGAAAACAAAACACACTATAAGACTTTATAACTTGGTATCGAAACAAAAGCTTCACTATACAATTCAGATATCCGATCACAAAATTACTCAAAAAACATGTTTTAGTCCAATCAATGACCCCCAGTAACAGGCGGGCAAAACCACCTGACTGAGTCGTTAGTCAAAGGCGGGCATAATCACCTTACATAACTGCCTGGCCGGAGGACCAGGGCCATGATGAAAACAAAACACACTATAAGATTATTTTTATAACTTGGTATCAAAACGAAAGCTTCACTATACAATATTATTCAGATATCCGATCACAAAATTACTCAAAAAACATGTTTTAGTCCAATCCATGACCCCCAGTAACAGGCGGGCAAAACCACCTGACTGAGTCGTTAGTCAAAGGCGGACATAACCACCTTACATAACTGCCTGGCGGGTGGACCAGGGCCATGATGAAAACAAAACACAGCTATACCACTTTATAACTTGGTATTGAAACGAAAGCTTCAGATTCAATTCAGATATCTGATCACAAAATTACTCGAAAAACACGTTTTATTCCAATCCATGAGTCCCCTGGAAACAAGCAGGCAAAACCACCTCACATAACCACCTGGCCGGTGGACCAGGGCCATGATGAAAACAAAACACAGGTAAAGTAATGAAAATCATATTAAGCCTTTTAAGCCTCGTGCAATTACAGGTTTTTGTATGCGAAATCACATATAAAAATTAGACAAGCTTAATATATTTTTCTGGTTTGGATTTATCTCTATTCTACATATCAAATACAAGTCGATGTACAGGTCCGGTACGAATAGCCACTAGGTATAATGTAAGAAAAATAAATAAAGATAACTTACATTATATCAACATTTGGGATCAAAAGGTGCAAAATTCTGTGTTTTTTGAAGCATTTCTACCGATCATTTGAATAGTAAATGTATGGAATCAAATGTCGCGCGTGACATCACGATCCCCCGAACAGTTCGGGTGGTACGCTTGTAATACACGTCTTTTGTTTGCAAAGAGCAAAACCACTCGAATTAAAAGTAATTAAATTCGCTATAAATATTTAAGCTTCAATTTGTGTCTGCAAAAACAACAAGGTGATACAATGCAGTCTTCGCTGTTGATGTCATGTCACGCGACCTTTTGGCGGTTAAAAGCAAACGAACAACCAACGGCAATATTCACAAAACATTTCAGTCAGCTTATATCCAGTATTTATATTTCTAATGTTAGTCGTAGATATCTGTCTCCTCTCAGGCTATTCTCCTAACAAGCCTAAACAAAAATTTGAGGCGAAATAGCGAGGTTATCGAGATTTCAAAGCTAAACACCAAACAATGCGCTTTTGATATCGCATCGCGCTCTCCCACAGTAGGAAAACCGCTCAAGGTGTTGCAGTACGGTAAAACAATACTTCAGAAGCCTCAAGAAATCTAGGGCCAGACTATAGCTTTAACATAAAACTCAGAAATTACGGAAAGTATACTCACCTCGAAATGCGAAATGCGCCGTCGTAATCTTTGAACATGTTTGAATGCATGGTTTTTGCTCTCTTCTTAGCAGTCATTTGGAGCCTCCATCATCCTTTGCTCTAACAATCGGCCCTACATCCTTGTTAACTTGAAATCAATGAAGACTTTGAGTTAAAATCTTCAAATTTACGGCGCTTAATTTTAGTACAACCTTCGTGGAGGACGGTTGGAACAAAAGATGAATACAAACGGTATTCAAGTGTCTTTATCGGCAACATCATCGATCCTGATTGCACGAAAATTCGCGCCCTGTCACTTAAGCTCCTGGTCACGGACTAATGATACGTGATCTTTGGATCTGCTGCGGCTTTTGACTCAGTCACGTAATTTATGTTGCTGTAAATTTCCTCTTCGAGAACACGCGGAAAAGGAACATGGTCTGAATTAAATCGATAGTACGAATACAATGGACAATGAAGAAAAAAAGAAAAGAAAAGAAGAAGAAGAAAGAAACATAGTGTTACATTTCTCAGGAAAGATAGAAACCCGCACAAATGACAGTCCTGTCACTGGAGTGATGCATGTTAGCGGTTTAGGTCATTTCATTAATTTAGCTAAAACACCTTGCAATTTACACATGTATACAAATGCAGTTGCCTGAATTTCGTACGATATATCTGAAATGAGACCTTAGACTGCAGCTGAAGTATATACCTGCTACATGTACAACTAGCGGCTCAGATAACTTATTCACGCGATGAAGATTTTCTTGCTTCGATACCTTTTTTTTAAAAAAAGAGAGTGGGTGTTTTATTCTATAAACGCATAAGTGCACATGTGAGTGCATAATTACCTCCGCTGTGGTATACATTTACTCTGTAAGTAAATGTTAAAAATACCTATTGTTTCAGCCTAAACGTGGTGTAAAAATACTCAAAATAACGAGTATCACTACACCATAATTTCTGTGTAGTGTTTTACACCATAAAAAGTGTCACTTTATAATTTTTCTTTTCTAACAATACACTTCAATTTTAAAGTGCACCTAACCCCAAATTTTTTATTCGCTTAGTTGAAATATCCATGTTAATTTAGTTGTTCTGCGAAATAATAAATCGATTTGGTTAAATATTCTTTTTTCTGTGGCCTGTTGAAATTTCAAAAATCGCGCGAAAACGGAGCTGTGTTTGGCTCACTACCGAGTTCTGCGGGGCATGGCTCTAGTCACGTGGCGTGACGTAGTTTCAGGAACCACACGAAAACAACACGAAAACTCATTTCCTTTATTTTTGCGGGAATCAAGTGCGAAAACTGTGTTGTGGTCGTGCAAAAAAAGAAATTATGCCTGACCGGTGCGTCGCTGCCAATTGTGGTAACATCAAGGACAAGGAGAGGAATATTTCAAGGCATCGGTTTCCGTTTTACGGCGATACAAGGCCAGAAGCACAGAAACGGCGTAAAAGATGGTCGACTGGGTTAAGCTGAAACGGGCAAAGTGGGAACTATCAGTACATTCCCATTTATGCTCGGTCCATTTTAAACCAGAAGAGTTTATGTTCCAGTTCGGCAATGAGGTAGATCTGAGCAACAAATGGCTACAAAGGGACGAGCTCGGAGTATGCGTATTCCCCAGTATACACAGTGGAGCGAAAGAAAAACCTATATCCGCGAGAGATAAAAGAATGGTGAGATAAATCAATCCTTGTTGTCATACTGAACTTATTGTTGATTTGTCGTTGAAGAATGCGACGAAAAATTACCTTCGCTGTTGCTAAGCCTGTTATAAAATTGTCCTTGTAGGCAGTCAAAGCGGCAATGTCAGGCCGCAGAGCTGGTTCTGATACCATCGATGAACCAAGCAAGAAACGAGTGAGAGTAGCTGGAACTGCCACGGCCACGTGCAGCACAGCGTCGGCGGTGAATCCTGCTTCCAGCACAAGAAGCCAACCAGAAGAAGCTGAACCTCCAGCGATTGAGCATTCAGTGACTGAATCAGCTGAAGTTGAACTAATAGAATCTAGTTCTACTGGTGAAACTTCTACAGGTTCAATCACCGAAAGTTCGATTTCTGCTCGTTCAACCACTGAAGGCTCGACTTCCCACAAAACCGTAGAAGTTGAAACAGCTGCACCATCACCAGGAAAGGATGAACCAGCTGGGCCCAAAAACAAGTGCAGCAACTGTTCTGTTCTTCAAAATCAGAACAGAATTTTGCAAAACAAGATTCGAACGCTTCAAGGGCATCTTTCTAGGCAAAAAAACGAAAACCGGAAGTACCGGAGAAGAAGCGGAAGTAAGTAAAGGTAGCATAAGTTTTGTAACTAAAATGATATCATCTAAATTGTAAATAGGAATGGTGCTGCAAAAAGACACAAGAATGTTGTTTTTTACTTTTGCAAGTAGTCCCTAAGTTTGGCCATTCCATCAAAATACACACACAGGTTCGAAAATGTAATCCAGCGAGGGGACATGTCACAAAGGAAGGTGCCAAAAATTAGAGACTATAGACAAGGCCAGAGATTTTGAATTAAGCTAATTTTAGGTGCCAGGTAGCCAAGAAAATGTTGTCATATTGATACAAAGTAGCTCAAACCACTAATGGTCAAGGTCCTTTGGCATATTTGACATAGCAATCCATATTTTAATTGCATGTGTGCACCATTATTTTTTGGTTTAGACACCAAGGATGTTGTTGAGCCCATAGCATCAGCTAATCAGGAGTCAGGCAATCAGGAAAGTGATTGCAACGACAAAAGGATGTCAGCTGAAGAGGAGTTGGAGGACATGGAAGAGGATGACGAGGAGGAAGATGACGAGGAGGAGGAAGTGTATGAAACAGAGACAGACGAGACTGAAACCACTGAGACAGAGAGTGATGAAGATGATGATTCTAAAAAGTCCAATAGGTAAGAACACATTTTCTATTCTAGTTCAAGCTTACAGTAAATGCAAAACTTATTTGTGTAAAGTACATGTCATTCAGTGCTTCTCTGCTGCACGAATTGAAATTCTGTGACACTGAGATCTGATTGCTTTTTACTTACTCTAAATACTTAGTAACATTTCAGAATCCAGTGAACAAAAGGCAAAAAATCCTCGCAAATGCGAAAAGGACCCTAGAATTAGTTAAGGGATGCTGTTCAAGGGTACTGGTAATTAAAAAATATATTAACTTTTATTGTCTACCTTAAAGTACTGTAATTATTTATATATTGCCTTTCACAAACACTTCAAAGGGTAATATTTTCAAGGGTTTTGTAAGTTGCAAAGCTATGGGGTAGTACAGGTTTTTTATCACATGATTATTTTTTTGCAGGTTGCCACTGAAGGGTTCAAACCTAAGATCTGAACCAAAGCACATTGTCTTCTTGACAAAATTACTGCTGCTTTTTAGAATTTGTACAATCTGCAAAGCCGATAATCCACTGGTTGAAGCCAGAGAAAATGGTACAGAGGTCATTATTAAAACAACCTGCATTAACCAAAAATGTCAGAAAGAACAGACATGGTACAGCCAGCCCTTGTTGCCCAACTCAAAGATACCAGCCGGGAACTTTCTCCTTTGTATGAGCACTCTGCTTTCAGGAGGATCAGCCACCAAAGTGTTTCAAGTGTTTCGCCATATGGGACTTGGTTGTGTGTCTATCAACACATTCTTCAAATATCAAAGGGTAAGTCTTGTCTCATTTGTATTCTATGATAATACCCCCATTTTATTGATTCTGAGCCTTATTTACATTTTTCAGTTAATTTTATTATTGTAAAATGATTGCTTGTATTGCAGTCAGTAAACCTACAGAAAGGAATTTTAGACGATAAACTGATTGTGCAGGTCTGACAAGTACATTTCCTTCTTGGAGTTGAAATAACTGAAATAATTAGCCCTGAATTTATATTTATTTAAACTTAAGGGCTTTTTTTGCTGGTCATATTTGGAAGACCCATTCCAGAATGGGTTAGACATTACAATAAAACTGTTTAAAACACTAAGAAAACAGTCTAAAACAGCTTACCATTATCAATCCATGGGCTCCTATTAGTACGAGGATATTTATGTTTGAGAGTTTGAGGGGGCTTATTATTGGGATTTTATGCTATTACAGTATGTAAATAATGACGTTTACTTTTCTATCATTTTAGACCAAACTCTTCCCTTCAATCTACCTGTACTGGCAAAGATACCAAGCTCAGATGCTTGCAAAGCTAAAGGCCATTCAAGATGGCATTATTATTGCAGGAGATGGTCGCCATGAAAGCATGGGACACAGTGCAAAATTTAGTGCCTATACAATCTTCTGCTGCACTGTTCCCATGATTATTCATTTTTCTCTGGTTCAGGTTAGATATATTTTTTATCATTATTACTTCTGAGTAATGCACCTACAGTATAGCTCCCTGCAATGTCACTTAGAAATACATCATACTTTATAGAGAGTTCATAATGTATGTACACTACTCTTTTATTCTCAGATGCACTCTTTTAACTTGCTAATTGACCTTACCAATAATTTAATTTTCATTGGAGACATCAAAGTGGTCTTTCCGTTGTATTTATATCCATCATTTTTTTTTATAGAGGAATTAAGCTGGAAATAGTACAGGGATGGAATTTATGGCATTTCAACATTGCATGGACTTCTTGCTGGCTTATGGCCTTCTGATCACCACATTCATTTCAGACAGACATACCACTATAGCCAGCCACATGAAAAATGTTCTTACGAGTATTGTTCACTACTTCGACATCTGGCATCTAAAGAAGAGTGAGGATATACCAGTCTTCACTATCATTGTAGATTGTATTATATTTTTGTAAACTTCTTGTCTGTTCCAAACATTACACATTAATCAATTCCAGCTGCAACCATCGCCCCCGCTCCCTCCTGGGTCAACTATAGGGCATTTGCACACACTGTCAATCCTGGGAGTCGGGCATTAGCCTAAATTAGTGCGAGAGGCCTGGAATATACTGAGTGATACATTACCTGATCAATCCAAACCCTTATGAAAGTTTTGTTTTTTCTCTTTGTCTTTCCACAGAAATCCGCAAAGTACTATCGAAGATTGCAAAACTGAAAGACTGTGAAGCCTTATCTGAGTGGATAAAGCCATGTGAAAGGCACCTTCACTGGAGTGCCACCTCTACCTTCAGTGGCAATGGGAGAGTTATTTTGGCAAAGTTTAAGGGATTCCTTAATCATGTCATCAATAAGCATTCTGGCTTCAGTGATCCCCTGTTCAATAAATGCGCCCATGGAAATATTGAACCAAGGAAATGGCTAAGAAGTGGTATGTTCGTAGGTGAAGCCTTGTAAAAGTAAGGTTGTTGCTTTGCTGTTTTTCAGATGATCTGTTGGACAGGGGGGTTCGCTGAAGTGTTCAATTTGAAGATGAAACTTTTGAAAATAACCTACCGTATATTCTCAATACTCCCCAGAGCCTTGCCTTATGTAATAATTATGGAAAATTGTATGGTGTAAATAGCACAAGGTAGTAAAAGAATCATCACAAAAATGTACTACAGTAATCTAGTGGTATGCTAGCCTTGTAATTTGACACCATGTCAGTTCCATGTTAGTAGGTACTGATTCTGATCACTCCATTTCTTGATTAATAGGGACACTGGTGTATGAAAAATTATGTGAGGCACTCAGCAATAAGGCCCTGGTAAGGGGAATTAAACAAGCTTCTCCTCATGCCCAAACGAGCTGTTTGGAAGGTTTTCACTCGGTCCTCAACCACTTTGCGCCAAAGATGATTGCTTACTCCTATGTTGGCATGTATTGCAGGTACAAATGGTTTATGGTTGTTTTGTTCTTGTATGATGGTGATAGCTCTTGCACAATTTTATTTTCTGGAATTTGGTATGGCTAAGCTCTTTTTTACAATCAGAACTAAGGTTGGCAAATTCACATTATTTTTGGTCAGAAAAAGGTTAAGGGTTCCCAGAATTGCATCCACAAGCCCCACCCAAATTTTTAGGTGTAACGTATCATTCATTTAATCATGGTTGTGCTTGTCTGATCCCATCTTGATGTTGTAAAATTGATGTATATTGTAATGTAACCTACGACTCAAATAGGCATTTACATCCTAGGCACATCTTGGCTGCAGTTCACTTCAACTTTAATCTGCATCGAGAGGTGAAACGTCGAGAGAAAGATGGGGTTGAGAGGGTGAAAGTATCTTACCCAAAGTTTAAGAATGGTGAAGCTACTGTCAGAGATGTGAGAGTCGAACCAAACTTTGGTAAGCATTTGGATCTCCAGATGTGAACTTAAAAATTTTTGTTTTGAAAAATCTGAAAAAGTATTATTTTTACCGACTTTTCTGTTTTTATTTTAGGGTATGTTGAGGAGATCTTTCAGACGTATATGAATGCGAGCAGAGATGAATTGAAGGATGCAAATACCAAGCTTTATGAGAAGACCCCTGCTGCAATGAACACCATGCTCGAGAAGCAGCCTAGAGCAGAGGCTTTGCTGAAGAGGCAACAAAGGAGCAAAATGGTGGTAACAGATGTCCCTCCAACCACACCAGGTACTTTGCATCACATCACTGCTGTACACTCCACCAATTTACTATAACTGTTTTCATAGATAATCTATGGCAAAATCTCCTTATCTGAACAATTTTTTTTATTTTCATCCCTTTACCAATGTATTAAAGTACTACTACGGGAATTTGTAATGTAAAGTCCCATTTTTTTTTTGCCTCACCAGTTTCTCAGGTCCCAGAAACCACTGGACAGCAGTCTCAAAGGAGAGAGAAAACCACCAGAAAATGCCGGGAGTGCAAGCAGCCACTGAAGGGCCACAAAAATGTTGTGGATTGTCCACGCAATAGGAGACAAAAATAGTTAAACACTAAGGCAGTTTTTGTTTGAGTATTCTTGGCTTGCAACCACGTGACAAGGCAGCCATGGTGGAGTGTTGGTGGTCAATACAATAGAATTTTTTCGCAAAGAATTTGCATGAAAATAGGGTCTAACTCCCAGAGGAGAAAAATGCTTTTGTTCTTAACCCTAACACACCACACCAACATGGCCGGCATGATGTCAATTTCAAACCAGCAATTGTAAAACCAACTTAAAGGAAACAGTGTGGCCAATCTAAAAAATTATTGGCAGATGTAAAAATTTAGTGAACCTCTTGGATAAGTATCAAGAATGTACTGAATGTGGCAATGACACAAGATTTTTCCATCATACCAGTGTGATAAAGCAAAACCAAAACAAGGGAAAAACCCTTTTGAGAATTTAAAAAGTGCTCTGAAAGTGCAGGGGTGGTTACTCTAAGTACTCCCCCGTGACTGTGAAATACCGCTTCAAGAATACCCCCCCGCAAAATCAAGGCTGATAATTGAGATGGTGTTACTCTGTGATGGACAGGGGGAATACAATCCAGCTTTTATGTTTATTAGACACTCCACGTCTCAAAAATGAGACTCTCCTGTGCAATATAAACGAGCTTCCATGGCTGGTTCAATTCCCTTTCTCCAGGACCCTCAGTAATTAACCTTGATTGGAAAAGTTTATTTACATTATTGTTTATTTATTTTTATACAACCAAGATGTTTTTGTAACAATGTAAAACAACCCTTCCAATTGAAAAACATCTAGTTCTGACACAACTTAGAAGTGTTGTAATTGATTTAAACACTGCAATGAAGGTATTTTCACTCACTTTCACTAAAAAAAGTACTACTTTCTATAAATACCGGAAGGAAACATTATACAAGTGGCACGGTTAGGGGAGCTCGTTCAGGGATGCTTCTTAGATTCAATGATAAAATATACATATATACATGCAGTTTTAAAAATCAGCCAAAATGAAATACAACTTTATATAACCTAGTCTCACTCTTACTGGCATGTGAAAGTTACACGCAAAGAACTCCTTTTTTGGTCCTCTCAGGCAGCCATGCATATTGCATGAATTGAATTTAATGCCAGTGGTTGAAACATAGTTGCTATACACTGTTGAATAGAAGATACCACCTCGGGTCAGTAGGAAAATGAACCAGAGACAAAAGGGATATATCTTTCAACCACAAATCAAACAATACACCTGATTCATGCATGGCTGTATGGTGTGAGTTAGAAAATAGAAATTACATTTAAAAAAGTGAGAGTCTATTTGCTCTCGCAAATTTTCATCATCTACATGGCCAAGGTTTCTTCCTCGTCAAGGTCCAGGTTTTCTTCCTCATCAAGGTCAAATCCGGTAAAACGTTCATCTTTACTGACTGGAAATTGTTGCCTTATGGCAGTGTATGCACATGCGGGCAAGGGAATCCTTCTGTTTCCCAAGATACCATACACAAGTCTTGAAAACTCACGATATGAAACACTTCGTAGGAAGCTGAAAGAGACAGCAGAAAGCAATGTATTGTGATCAGATTTTGCTCATGGTAGCTGAGGTAGTCACACAAGGAGATTTAACTGAAAAATACTTGGACAAAGGCATATAACTTTGAGAATGTTCGTTTGTTTTGGGTGGGGAGTCACCAGAGGAAAAAGGCAATACTATATAATTATATGCAGTATATTTAGACAACCGAAAATGCAATCAACGCTAACTTCCCTAACCAATCACCGAAACGTAAGGTAACCAGACAAAGTTATTACTATTATGATTTTTGTTTCACTGATCAGAAGGCGAGACGTTTTTGAGAACCTACGCCGAAGCTTACATAATGATTTGGCCTTGAATTCGATCATTAACTAACCTTTCCTCACTTCCTTTCTGTCTGTACTGTTGTTTGCCTTTCGTCTTGAATTTCCCTGCGGCCAACCTCAGACTCCATTTCTGGAGACAAACGGGATTGAATCCTGGGTGCTGCGTAACGCACTTTAGGGTAACGTCGACCCCGATATCTAGAAGGACGAGGTCGGTCTTCGTCGATTCCAGGCAGCCCTCGAGTTCGCTACAGCAATAACATTCACTGATGTTTTGTAACAAAAGGACACTGCAGTTTCCACACTTGCACCTACAGAACATAAACAGAGCAAATTGATGAGTCAAGGCTGCGTTTGAAACTGCACAAACATGTACGCTTATAGAAATAATATTCATAGAAACAAATGCTTACCATTGACTGACTTGTGTAGCTTCGTTCTTTGAAGAACGAAGCATAACACAATAGATGCTATTCTTATTCAATGACATGCAAATAAGTGGCAGGGTATTCTGCAGTTAAGCCCTGTAATCTCTTAGTTAACTCTTGCTCCGGCTCCTTTTCCTTCTCTATTTCCTGTTCGTATTGAGCTGTCCACTCTGCGTCCGCTAGTGGGTCATCTGCAAATGCGGTCGCTTCGTCATCGCTTGTCGGTGGCGATGCTTCGCGATCGAGATCACTTTCTGCTTCCATCTCATACTCTGAATCGGTGCAGCTTACCGCTGAATCTTCAGAGGACGACATTGCAAAATATGGTTAAATTATAGCTTCTGGTGACGGAAATTTAGCTCGAAAGTTGCTTCTATGTCTTCCACACCACGCAAAGGTGAGATAAATTGCTTGGCGATGCTTTGCTGGCGGGAATTTCGGTTCCTGAATCTACGTCATATCACGTGACAGCCCCGGCACTCGTTCCAGATCCCTTGTTGCTCGGTACTGGACCAAATTATCCTCTAATTCAACAGGTCACAGAAAATCGAGGATTTGACCAAATCCAAAAATCTTTTCACAGATATACTCAAGAAAGCAAGCACATTCATTTAGGCGAATAAAAAAATTTGGGGTTAGGTGCACTTTAACACTTTTAGTTGGTGTTAAAGTACCCGAAAAAACGAGTAACAGAACACTACAAATTGTGTAATATTACTCTGTGTTATTAGTATACTCTAACACCGATAGGTGTGTTTAATTCTATAAGTTTATTAGTGTAAAATTACCTTTACTATGGTATACATTTACGCTGTAAAAACGGGTAAAATGTACACCGTGCCCTGCGTGTAATGTTACAATAAAAAAAAATTGTAAAAGTATACCTTTAACTGTGTAATATTATCATGTTAAGAGTTCCAGCTCTTTTACACTAAAGTTTGCGTAAAATTACCCGACATAAAGCGTAACACAACACTGACAATTCTGTGTAACGCTTTACTCGTTAAAAAGTGTAATATTACAAATTTTCCTTTGTAACATTACACTTTAATTTTAAGTGTGTGGCCTTTGCGTTAGCGCTGCAGTGCTCTACCATTTGAGCTATGAAGACCCATATATTGGGAGCAGGCCAATTTGTTTAGTTCACCTTCACCGGTGAAAGGAATGAAACATGAAAGACGATGTGAACTGCCGAAGTACAAATTTTATGAAGATATGATCGTCGAAGTGGTAGTTGCAATTTAGGCAATAACAAATAAACCCGAAAAAAAAAAACCGTTTTTAGGTTAAACAGCTCTGTCAACGATAATCTTCGATCGGGCCCTTCTTTTTTTAGCAAGCACGACGAGCCCGCAGTCGTTTGCTTGATTAAACTTTGCAAACATTTTTGCCATGCATCTCTACACTCAGTTTCATTAGTTTGTCAACTGAGTCGAACATACGCGGTTACGTAACATCTGCATCTTAATTCTGAACGTGTCATAAAGATTCATTTTGTTGGTTTTCTTTCAGAGAGTTTGCATTGTCGAGTCTTAAAGCTGGTGCTAAGGACATCCTTGTGGCCACTGATGTAGCCGGTCGTGGTATTGACATCAAGTAAGTTTCATGATAAACAGTTTGATTTCTTTGTTTTCTTGTTTTTGTTGTCTCCAGGCCTGAAGATGATTTTCTTAAACTCATTTTCAAACCCAACCTGGAGACCGGTTAATCGGAGAGAACCCTGGGAACGGGGTTGATGGTCAAACTTCTGAAGTTTTTTTTTTCTTCACTAAATGTGTGTTTTATAGCGCAAGTAAAATCTCTCAAAGTTGATTTCTTCATGTCATTTCTCTTCCAGGGATGTTTCACTTGTTCTTAACTATGACATGGCCAAGTCAATCGAAGGTAAGTGATGAGTTTAACATTGAAACCTTAAGCTTAAAGTAAAAGTAATTCATCGAGACGAACGGTGTTGATAATCGTATCTTACGATATACAAACTTTATTAAGTACGGGGTTAACCAGTATGTGATGCGTTTAATTTTGTCTCATTTCTTCATCCATGGATTGTACACTTTTGGTTTTATGTACTATATTATTGTAATTCTTTGACAATTTTGAAAGATTATTTTGATGTTTCAGTCAAATTATGTCTATTCCGTGAGTGCTGGAATAGACCTTATTCACGATACGCGCCATCACACGAGCGAAAGGATTTATGGGATAAAGGAAATATCGTGTGGTTTCTAAGGAGGCAAAAAAACTTATTAAAAGCTGTCCATAAAAGAAATCGCAGCCGAGTTTGTTTATTCCCTCAGATAAGAAACCACGTGACATCCCATTCCATCAACCTTGCGCGCTTCCAAAGGTGGCGGGTATTATGAAGAAGGTCTATTGCCTAAATTTACGGAAGCCACCAGATAGCCAGTGCCCTATGGCTGCTAACATGTCATTGTTTTCATTTTTTATCAGGCTACACTCATCGTATTGGTAGAACCGGTCGAGCAGGAAAAACCGGTGTTGCCATCACGTTTTTGACCCAGGAGGACTCAGCAGTGTTTTATGACCTCAAGCAGACATTATTAGCGAGTCCCGTACGTACAATGCTTTTAATTTTACAGAGCGTCAAAAAACCCATTTTTCCACTCACTGAAAGTTGATTCGACTATAACTAACTGATTTATGTTCTTGCAAATCTTGTAAATTGTTTATGAATTTTATTGTTCATATCTGAGTCTGAATTGGGTTAAAATGTTTATTCTTGTTTGCCCAAAATTTAACATTTAATTTAAAATATTTGGTTATAAGGGTTATAGTGTGTTAGGCGAAAATTGAGTGTTACAGGGCCAATGTAGTGCTCTAAATCTTTAACCAGGCGCTAGTTAAGTATCAGACTAATTTTCGTATTTACTATTATTTTATGTATAAGCGAATGGATTCTTAGTCGTGCTATGGCGAATAACAAGCAAAAAACACTAACATGAACAGTTGTCAGCGGTTATGACATGGGGGAGGGGTATATTGTCTTTAGTAAATGACTTATTTCTGTATCGTTTATAGGTGAGCCACTGTCCTCCGGAGCTTGATAAACATCCTGATGCACAGCACAAACCTGGCACAGTGCTTACAAAGAAGAGAAAGGAAGAAACTATTTTTGTATAAATACCTAAATAAATCCAGTATTCGCAAGGCCGGAAGCCGCTTTTTATGGCCGTGAAAATAGTAAAACAGTCAAGGGTATAAAGCTATGAAGAAAATAAACAAAATTTTGAAATATTTATTAGTGATATCTTTTAAAACCTTTTCAGAGCATGAATGAGTAACTAATGCATTATTCTTTATTCTTGACATGCTAGCGTCGGAGCCTCCAACCGCGTCTGACTGAAACAAGGAGTTTGGCTGGGCTGAATTTTAGACGTCTCAGCAGTCAAGGTTTTATAGAACTTGCCCCTGTTGATTTTTCAAGCCATCTTTTTCTAGCCTGTTCCAGGCTCTTACGGTGATGTTACACGGAACGATTCGTAGCGACGATTTTTAGCGCAACACAGCATTACAACATTGTTGCGACGTTGTTTCGAATAGTTGCAACATTGCAACGCAGTGTTGCGCTAAAAGTTGTCGTTGCGAATCGTCTCGTGTAACATTACCTTAAGATAGTAGTAGCCTGCGTAGCAGGCGCTTGGAAGTAATTGGGCGCAAGAAAGAACGGGGCGCGCGAGGGAGACACGCGAGGGGAGAGGGTGTCTCCCTCGCGCGCCCAGTTCTTTCCAGCTCCCAATTACTTCCAAGCGCCTGCTACACAGGCTTAGATAGAAGGGTTGACGCGTAAGTGAAAAACACGCGAAAATATCAGCGCGTGATCTGGGAAAAGAGAGCAGTGGCGAGAAAAAAGAAGCTCTTCCTCTCCCCAGTTTCCCCTCGTTTTATTTTCGTGTTTGCGCCATTTCTATTTCGCGGAACCGACTATCTCGGAGCCAGGAACAGGCCATCTTTTTCTATCTCTGTGGCCCCAGGGTGGTGATGGTTACTTTAGTACTTGTACTGAAAATTTTTGGCTTCTCAAACAGACTGATAAAAGATCAAACACTCTTTCAGTGCATCAAAACTGCAATAGTATTCTGACTTCCGTGGAAACATTGGTGAAGAATGGACTTAGTTATTTTGTGAACATATATACACCATAAGAAAAGAGAACTTTTTCATTAAACATACTCTGAAATTGAAATCTAGGGCTATTTTGAGCAATACGCAACAACTTCCGGTCAAAAACACTTGCTTTAAGTAAACATCATTCGCAATATAATTTAAGTTAGTTTAAGTACAATTGACGCCGAACACTGGAGTAGCTTTTATTTATAGGATTACTCCTTTATATCTATTTTGCTGAGATGACGTACGCACAATTTTCAGTTTCAGTTTCAAATATAGCTTGAATCCAGACACGAAATCAAACGTTTCGTTGTAAGAGATATGCTCCATAGCTAATAGCAATACAGTTTTCCTGCGGGAAGCGGTTTTGCGATTGCTTTCTAAAATTCTTTTTTCGTCTTAGTGAAAAGAACTCGCACCACAATCGCCAGAACCTTGTCACAACATTACTTCTTAAAACTTATAGCTAACAACAGCATGTGCAGGGCGTTTTATGTCGAAGCTGACGACACGTCAAGAGTTTAAATCAGTTTAAATCAGCTTTAAAACTTATGACTAACAAAACTTTTGCATATCATACGGCAATGGCTGTGGTTAAAATTTTTAACGTTTACTTAAAGAAAGTACGTGCGGATCGTTTTCAACGTCTGGCGGGTGGAGCGAACAATGGCTCTGAAGTGGTGGCTTTTGTGGTCTGTGATTCAATGTTCGGTAGAGTTGAAGGGTACATTGTAGCGTCGCTCTTTTTAGCCACACCTCGCTGACTCCCAGCAGTGCACTCACACCTGGAAACTAAGCAAACAAGATCAAGTCAGAATCAATCAGCAAGAAGGAAACTGCTAGCCGACTACTCTAGCTGCTAATAGTGGTGTAGCAATCCGAAACTGAGTGATTTGTGAGACAAAGATTTTCACAAAAGTTCTCCAGTACACACGGAGCGATTTGTCGCTGCGACGTGTCGCCACAACATCATTTGCTACAAGTTGTCGCCTAGGGTGTACCGACTCCTTAACGCATCGGAGTTGCATCCTGGAGAAAGTAGGCAAAACTCATTCGAATACGCCAAGCAACATTCAATTTGCTGCGCAATTTAGACGTAAGACTCGTTCGATAACATCTTCTTTTTACAAAATAAAAAAAACACGCGTCCACCTCACGCTTCATGCTCCTCCGCATGAAACAACATGCCCTGCATCCCCCCCCCCCCCAAAACCGGTTTGTACCAGTTTGTCTAACCACCCTACTGGGAGGTCGCCATTTTCATTAGTTCTCCTCCTAGCATTCATGGGATGCCACCATTTTGAATGATTTTGTTCAAGCATCCTCGAAATACTACTCAGCGGTATCCACCAGACGGCCCTTCCAAAAAATGCTGCCTTTGAATTCTAACTGATATTTGCCTGAATAAACAAAGTTATTCTGCTTTAACTATCTTTAAATAGAAACAGAAGCTCATGCATTGTTTTGCTTACTTTTTTCTTCCAACTCCATGACTATGGCAGTCAGCATTTTCATCTGATCTTTAAGAGCGGTTAAATCTTCAGGCTGAAAATACAAAAAGACCTTTTTGTTACCACGCGTCATGTCTACCAAAAAGATACTTTTTGTAGGCTCTCTGTGAGTAGCAAATTGAAATGATGTTAAATGTCGCTATTTCAGAAAGAAAAAGTGCAATGCAGAACAATTATAATAATCTTTTCAAAAGGCTTCAAAGCGAAAAAGCGGAGTTTTCGGCATGCAATACTTCCGCCATATTAGCCTAAGCTTTTTTAAATTTTACTAACAACGCTGGGCCAGAAAAAATCATTTAGTCGATTCACAGCAAGATTTGTAATAGCAGGCGTTAGGAAGTAAATGGGCTAGATTTGTAAATGGGAGAGGCTCATTTTTTACCTGGGCAGGGAAGCATTTTAGCTTTCCAAAATCTTGAATTCAGGATTTTGGAGGATTAACTCTAACTCCACGAATTAACTTTACGGAATTAACTCTGAGAATAGCCGTCCCCGATCGTTTTGCTGGATGACCAAGTACATTTACGCATAGGCCTTTCAGTAATTTAAAACTAAGATCGTCTTTTTAAAACTCACCGAGGCTCCGATAGCTGGGCGGCCAGGTTCTCCCGCTGGACCCGGAAGTCCAGGGGGTCCTCGTGGTCCTTGTATCGATTCTCCAAGTTCCCCCTTTAAACCCGGGGGTCCAATGGGTCCTGTAGATCCAGGTAGTCCCGGGTCTCCGGTCACCACTGTCGTGGTACCCGGCTTGCCGGGATGTCCTTTCTCGCCTTTCTGGACTCTTAAACGACGTGATTGCCCTGAAAGTAACAAAAACAAAAACAATCAATTTATATTCGCTTTTCTACGCTTAAGTGCAGACTAGGAATGCCAATGCGTTTTTAAGTTCCATTGATATCCTACCCACCTTGGACTCCGTTTAAACCTGGAGGCCCTGGATCTCCGGTTTCCCCTCGTCTCCCGGGGGGGCCGGGGGGTCCGCGAGGTCCTGGTGGACCTCTTGAGATTTCGCTGTCCTGAACTATCGCCTCGGCAGGAGCTTTTTGACTTTTCTTTTAAAAATAAACAGAAAATGGGCTTCTTTAACCTTCGACCATGAAAAGAGTCTGTAAGTTATGTAAGTTACAAGGCGTCCATTGCATGCATGCTAGAGGTAGGTTTGGTCTAAAATTTGAAACGGCGAAACAAACACCACAAATCAAAGAGTTCGGTTACTGGTTATCTACAAATCTGAATCAACCAATAAATAAACAAAAGAAAATCAAAGCAAAAGGCAGTTTCTAACGGAACATCCCAAAAAATGAAACTACATTTGTATTTTCAGCTGAGCTCAAAGACATAGTGACAGTCTTTTTTAAAAAGAGAAGAGCCACTTCAGTTGGTCGGCATCTTGGTACATGCTGAGCTTCAGTCTAAACGCGGGTTACCTGCCAGTCACCTGGCTCGTCTGTTTACCGGCGAGCAAGCTCTCCGAGAAGTCACGCGCGAGCGACATACGTAATGACGCGCGACAGCGACGCCCGGGCACTTTATCATTTTGTTAGTTTTACTCATGTTTTCCCTTGAAATTCCATCTTCGTACATTACTAACCTGTTCCAAGGCTTTTAACCTGGCTTCCAGCAGAAGAAACTTGGTGCAATTAAAACAGGCTGTTGAAACAGAAGCACTCCAGTTGATGGCTTGATGTAAATGAAAGTGAAAATCTTAGTTGCAACCGACTTTGATAGAATATCACCCACCTTGACTGCAATCTTTTCCTGTGAAGCCGGGACAACAGTCTTTGACCGACGTAATCACTGTTCTCACCTCTATTTTATACTGCGGACGATAGGTTACCCTGAAAATACAGTCGAACCTCGTATAAGTGACGCTATAAATGCGACGCGGTAGCTCAAGAGAGGTGGTCGCTTACGACAGTTACGAGAATAGATCCACGGGGCTCTTTTCCAAATACAGCCGGTGTAGCTGGTGGGATTATTATGCGCGGGGGATTTTCTTGGCGGCGGAGGATTTTCGGTGACTTGCTCCCAAACTTCAGGCGGCTCAGCCGCCAAAAAGAAAAAAAAACAGTACTCCCCCGCTATTCCCGCATGTTACGCAGGCTATTCCGAGTAGAGGAGTGGTATCAACATATTAAATTTGGCAAGAGAATTTATTACATGCAATTTACGAAATACACAGTTCCTTGTTGTCAGTAGCAGTTTTTTCTATATGTATACTATGAGTATCGTAGTGCATACAGCAAAATCTAAGATTTCAGACCATGCTTCAACTGAGGTTTAAAACGATGGAAACTTATAAAACTGATGCTCGGTTACGAGAGGTGATCGTTAACGGTAGGTTTCAGCTGTAGCCGAGCTTTGTAGTGCTCTGGGAAACTGGTCGTACATGGAGTTTCAAAGATGGACTCAAAACCACTACTATTGACAACAAAAACAAACGCAAATAATGCAATAGAGGCATCAAAAGCTGCAGGAAGACAAAAAATTACAAGCGCGGGGAAACTTGCTAATTTTAGCGTGAGAATCTGTGCAAACTGTGTTGTCAAGGGCGGGAAATAATGCAACCAGTGTCACGGGCCATAACAGGCAATCAAGTGCTAACCAAATGTCTTCTACTTGTCTTCTTCGGGGAAGCCTGTTCCAGGGGTTCAGATTTCGGGAACGGCGTGAAGAGATGTGAGCAGGGAACAGCGACCCGCTCTTTGACTTTGTGCCCCACCCCACTATCTGAACGGTACAGGTTGTTTTCTGTGCAGTCACTTGGCCCTAGTCACGCAACGCTTCCCGTCCACACGCGGTACGTGACTTCGGACCGAGTAGCTGGAGGCGGGAAAAGTCAAGGCCCGTAAAATGTAACCAAGTGTCAAACCAGTGTCACACGTCATGGATCGTGCAACCAAGTCTTAGGCGCCGGAAACAATGGGGAACACAAAGAAATAACCATTCACTTCTTTTTCAAAAAAAGTAAGCATGTAGAACTTGAATTCAAATAATGAATCATTTGCGCGCACGTCTTTTACGTTTGTTCATGGTCTAACTCAGTAATAATAATTACACACCTGTGACCAGTGCAAACTTTTTGCTGAGATTGTGTTCCACTATAGTACTTGAACTGGTGAGTCACTCTTTTCATGTGCGCTACATTACAAGTCACTTGCTTGGGTTTCTGGTAAATACAGTACTGTCCGCTAGAGGCCGAGGTGCCCTGGGATGGTGCCTGGGTACTAGGCTCTTGGCTTTGTATTTGAGGACTTGGTGCCTTGACACCGGTACGTCTGTACAGCGGTAGCTTGTTCGAAGGATCGAGTACCAGCCTTTTTGATTGGAAACCGTGTTGGCTGCAACCGATTTCAGAAATGGCTATGATATCACTTTATCACTTTCACTTTGTTCTACAACATTAAAAATTGTTTTTAGAGGAGTCGCATTCCCCTTCTCCTTTCTGATAGGGAGGAGGCGGGGAAATTCGAATACCCTAAAAACGAGGCGGTTGCACTCTCTCCTCCCCAGAGACTCCGCCTGGGTTTTAGTGAGCGCGTTGTGGACGACGGGAAGAGGAGTTCCCCTTCCCGTCGTCCCCTGCGCGCTTTTTTTCCGTCTACGACACAAAGAACCTCTGAAGACGGTGAGAGATCGTGCGAGAGTCGTTTGTAACAAAGGCAAGGAACAATCATAATGATTTATTTTTTCTTGCGTAAAATGCTATTATAAGCGTTCAAAACAAAGAGGTTGTACTAAAGTCTAACTTTAAGGCCAAAATTTATATTCTCTACTCCCAAAAAGCGCTTAGAATAAGTGGAGACAGAAATTAAAAGGGATATTAATTCTAAGTGACTCAGTCATATATATGTATAAGACCTACATGAAAATCTATTCTGTGTAAAAAGTAGTGGTAGATATAATAGTGACAGAAACAAGATATCTTTTCTTTCCTGAAATCAGTGGTCTTATCTATATTATCCTGTGTAGCTGTCCGCAATCGATACTTTCAGGGAGGTCATAATATCATAATTTATCTATCTTCAAGAGATAACAACAAGTAATTACCCTCCTTTTAGTTTAGTGGCTATGACAGATTACATCGGTGGTTAACAAGAGTCTGACAGTGCAGATAGCCGTGTGACTTTTCGATTTTCTTTTAAAAAGTTAGCGGGGACGACCAGTTGGGGTTGGTTCATGTAAAACGCTCCAGAGTTGCGGTCTTTGTACTGTTCGCGTAATTCTTAGTTTCTACGAGCAGCAAGCATTTCTACGGAAAAACAGCTAACTTATTCCACAAGAGTCTTGTGTTGGCTAATTCGTAGCGCTCCGATAGGGCTCTAAAATTTCACTTTTTCCGTTTTATGAACGAGTGCAGTTTTGAGTTGAGTGAGGAAGAGCTCAGTGTGACAACTTTGATGGAGGAGGGTCTTCAATAGGGTCCAATAGGTTTTTTGGGATCCGGGACTTGCCTCATTTGAAGGCAGGGATTGAGGATTAAACCGGGGAACACTGGGGAGCAGGGAACGGAAAAAAAATTGAGTCGAGACAGGATTGTAAAACCCCATCGGGACCATGCACGGATTTAGAGGATGGCCGAGGGGTCGTCTCCCCCCCCTTTTTTCTGTTGATTTTTGTATTATTTTTACAATTACGGCACCAAAATAAAAGGAATCAATATAGCAAGTTTCCCGGCCACCTCTATCTGAATTTTCTGGATCCGACCCTGCGGAATCTCATAAAGATGACGTTTTCGCGCCAAATACAAACTTTTCCAGAACAAAGACTCTTGAACATTTCGTCTGATTTTAGAGCCAAAACAAAACAAAATTTCCGGCAAAAACAATAATAGTCACAAAAAGTCAAATTCCTAGTGTCATCTCCCTTTAGCGATTGTTTATGAATTATCCCGGTTTTTTTTTTCTTTTCGTCCGGAAATCTGACTCAGCTGGCTCATATCAGTATTCCATACAGTTCTGTTCAAGTACGCCACATGGCGTGATTATAGGAGTGATAGGTTGAATTCGGGGTTGAATTATTCTTTTCGTATTTCCCCGAGTCACAAGGATATCGAGTATTAAACAATTTATTTTTCTCCTCTTTCGTCACGAAAATAATGAAACTTTACTGTCGCATGTCAAAGGTTGGAAGTTAGGTACGCTAAAAAAGACAAACCAGAATCTGTAATGTTTCCAGAAACTGGAACTCTGATGATTTATGGCGCCGGGTTTATTCTGTCATAACCAGCGATAATCACACACTTTTGTACTCATCAGTTCCATTCATGAAAAAGCATAAGTCAGTTTTTTCAAGGCCCCGCATGTCTTGTAATGCTACCCTAGAGGTGACAGAATGTTGCAGGATATATGACAGGCCTTGTGCATATGATGCTGACCACACTACGTTTGATATTGCGTGAATTCAAGATTTGCGTGAACTGTAGTTGCCTCGCACCTTCTTTGTTTTTATGGAAGATAGACTCTGGCAGGCGTTATTAAAAACACTTTATTTTGGTGCGAATTTTCGCGCCTTGGTGTCAATATGAAAGTAATTATCTCCTGAAACGTTTCAGTCACCGCAAGAAAGTTTGATCTTTATTTTGGGAAAGGAAACTCGCGAGTTAACTTATACAAAACTGCAAGACGTAACAATTTTAATCCTCTTTTCAATGCGTCTGAGTTTACGATGAGCTGAAAAACATGCATTACTGAGTTGACTATTAAGCCAGTTAAAATTTACATCTCAGAACTTTCAAGGGGACGCTTACTAAGTTTAGGAAGAACGGTCATTTTTATATCACACCAAGAATAAACCACACTCTGTAATAAGCTTACCTTTGGGCGTACGGATTGTTGTAGCTGTAGAGGGGAAGATGTCTGCTTGAGTGTGACCTTGAAACTCCACGAAAACCAGCAACAGAAGCTAAAACTGCCGTGATAAAAATTGTGCTCTCCGCAATTTTCATGCTGTAAACTTTCCCGCGTCAAGTCAGAAGTCAGAAAAATTCTAGACTACAATATTCCAGAAAGTAAGATCTGCTACGATCTCACAACCATCCACTTAGACTTCGGGAAATTTGCTATTACCGTATGTCAAGTTGCTGACTCGCCGCTGAGTGCCGTTTTCTGTCCAAGAGCCTGAGACGTTATTCTCGATTGATAACAGTCGAAAGTGATGACAAAATAATTAGAACACAGTTTTGATCAGCTAGATAACAAAAGGGCGGCAAGCGACCATAGTTGAAGCGAGCGATTTGATATCCGAAGTAATGAACTGGGATTTCCGGTCTTAGGTGAGAACTAATAAACTCAGGCTTGGAAGGTGTTCAAGTATGCACGGAAATTATACTAGACATTTTGATTATCTAGGATGATGAATTGTCTTTTTATATTTTCCGGTTTATATATATCGGCATATTTTCAACCTCATCGTTGTAGGGGGAGAAGCAGCCTGCCAGGAGGCTCGACGCGCGAGCCGGTGTACGAAGCATGCGAGAGTGAGTCCGGCTAGCTTAATCGGTAACTACCAGCTGTCCACAAACAACTTCCCTAACCCCATCCCCTTAGTGTTTTGCATTGACACGTCAGCCAGTTCGTGCATTCTTCATTCATGACCCATTTTTTACCTGAATATATAACATATCCAATTCTTTCGGCTGAAGAAAATAACGAGGAGCATTCCCTTTTATATACAATTCAAAGAGAGCCCCCTCCAGATTGACATTTTAAGAGTAACTTGACCTGTAACTCTGTATTTAGCTATGGGGTGTAGTCGCTCTAGTCGAGTCAAGTACCTGAAAGATTACGCTCTTCCGCTATGACTGATGTGCCAACATCCGTTTATTGTTAATTCTTGTTAGCAAGTTAAGTATATAAACGAGCTTCTTGTTGCCAAACTGACATTATGATGTACACCATCGCGTTGAATAATACAAACACTGAATGGATATGGACGTGACACAAGGAGTGCAAAAGAAGGGTATTAATCTCTCGCGCATTGAAATAATCAGTTTTGTAAGATACAATACCAAGGCATTCTAAAACTGTTTGATAACATTTTAAATTGTTATCAGCTAAACCAAACAGCTTTTCACCTCATTGACTTTCTGCAAATCGTAACAACGTGTTTGAAGACCCCTTTGAAAATGATACAAAGAAAACATGTGATATGTTATTAGTTTTTCTTTTAAGTTCTGAACAATGCAACAGTTTTTTTAACCGTCACATCTTTTCGTGGTGTTTCTGATGGCCTCATCTGTTAAACATATTTTTTTCCAATTACTTCTCCAATGACAACCTTTCGGGGTGAAAAATCTATATCCGAATCTATGGTAATTTATTTCAACCCTCCTATCGCGAACATTCAACTCATCGTGGAATAAGAAGGTTAACTGTATCATACGTAGACTGGTAAGAAAGTACATGAAACTAACTCTTTCACTAAAGAAAACGGCTTGAGTCCAGATGAACTCATCTTTTTCCCGACAGATTAACGCTAAGAATTTTAATTCTCTTTCACGGACAGGCATTTCAATTCTCATAAACATACCCAGCCAAATATTCCAGAGACGTCTTTTTTCTTATCTTTCTAATCCAAAACTGGGCGGATCGGAGTTATTTGAAGAGATAAATGTTCATGATATTTATAAAAAGACCAGCCCATACCTAGCTGTCACCTGTTTGTCAATAGGCATTTCTAAATTTTGAATTTAATTAGAAAAAAACGAAGGATCATTCTCAGTCAAAGTTATAATCAAGAAAAAGAAGATCAACTTGAAATATATTCAGTCCCTACATTTAATTAACTAGTTTTATTTTCGAGATGTATCCAAGTCACGGCGCCATGGAAAAAGTGCAAACCATGCTACAAAATTGTAGACATTTCAACCTAGAAAAGGTGAAATCAGCACTTGATATCCGGGAGGACCATTGCCTGTTCTTGGCATACTCCAGTAAACTGATCAAAAGCAAGAGCCATAATTTGACAACGCCCAAAGCCAGTGGAGGGTTTCTCTAAATATCATCGGTGGTTTTGAGACTGTTTTGACAAAGATTTGCTATTTGTTACGTCTTCTATTTAAATTTTATTTTAATGGACAAAAAGCATGTCCACCGCCGCGCCTAAAACTGCGGAGCTTCTTTAGGTGGGACCCCGGCGGAGCTTTGCTCTCTCCTCCGCAGAGGCCTCTTTGTGTTGGAGGGAGGCTGGGGAGAAAGAAGCTTGCGCTTCCTATTTTCCGATTATTGCTATTTTTACTGTGATACCCAGCGGGAGCCTCTGCGGAGGACAGAGAAAGCTTTGAGAAACACGAGCCAGATGTATTGGTAAGAAAAAAGGTCATTAGTCGTGACTAGTTTTC